ATTCCAGGTCTCCACTTTGATAAACAAAATGCCAATGCCAGTGCGATAAAGAAACTCCAGATTGACAGGGAAAGGCAACGTCATTTATGAATGAGAATCAAATGCAGCCGATTTTTTGATGTCCGACAACAGAGCTAATGAAGAATCGAGAAATTTGTCTGCGTAACCGAACAAATTGCAATTTTTCGCGGAACCTTTGGAAAAGGATCCCAAATTCGCTTGACAAATCAACAATCGGGAAGCGTTAAGCATAACATTGTTGTTTATGAGCAAATTATGGAGATTTCATCTTGTCGAGTTATTCATTTGAGGAACTGAAAGTCAAGGCAGAGGAAACGTGTATTGTCTATCTAGATTGTGTGATGGCTTGTCTAGAACCTTACATAAAAAATCCACTGACCGAGGTAATCCTTGCTGTTTATTTGAAGACATGGTTTTGGAACGAAAATCAAGAGAGAAAACGAGAGCGACATTCTCAATCTCTCCAAGCTCGAGACGATATTTTTAAAAATCATAGTTTTTACCAAAAAGATGCAATTGATCCATGAACCAAAATTCATTTCATTGAATTTTCGAAAGAGACGTGGAAATCGTTTTTTAGATCCTCGTGCGAAACTGATAAGAATTTTGTTTAAACATGTTTAATCTTGTTTGTTTACACTAGCAAATAATAAATAGATCATTTACTACTTCCACAAGCGCTTACCTGTTTGTAATGTCAATATTTATTACCCCATTATGAATTAATGCCGTAATGTTGGAATGGTAACCACAACAACAGGTAGTTAGTTTGTTAGTTGTTGCTGGCGGTCTCGTGGTGTTATTGACAAACCAAAATTTTATAATTTTTATTGTAAACAAGTTGTTGACAAACAGAAAAAAGCAAACAAACAATAAGAAATCATTGGACTTTTCCTAACATTTCACTTTATTGTTGTTATGAAAATATATGTATGTTTTTCATTTTCATATGTTTACAAAAACACAAACATTTCAAAAATATTATTTTTTCGCACATAACAATTAGTGGTTTAGATGAAGACTCGCACACACAGACTATTTGCTTAGAGTAGTTTATGACCCTACGCCATGAATTTTTTGGAGTGCAAACCAACATCCGTTTTTTAACACATATCTTACGGAATAGACATATGTTTATCATATGACGGAACTGAAGAAACTGTAGTAAGAGAACAAAACAAGATAAACAATGACATTGGGCCCGGCTGAGGAATTTTTCCTACAGATGGCAAATTATGTGTTTGTTGTAATTTGCAGTGTCTTAAAGAGATAAGTCAATAATCAGTATTTGTTTCGTGAGAGGAATTCAACCATTTAAAAACCTTCAAACTTTAAAGAGCGGCTCACGTGGATCCCTCTAGTGGTCGTAGGAGTCCTTTATAGTGTTACTAATTCCATTGTTAAGATTTATTTCTAAAAAATACATTCTGGACAATGGAAACTAGGAAAACATCTTCTGGAAGTGACTTTCGATTCGAAAATATTTCACATTGAACTACAATTACCAAGGATTGGGAATTGGGGATCTATTGCCTACCCAACTATAAATGAAGACGATCAGCTAAGTTGCCATATTAGAAATAGGAGATAGACCGGAGAGTCAAAAGAGAGAGTGAAAAAATGTTTTATTTCGAAACGTTGTCCATATAGTTGGCCTTCAGTTTTTATCAAAAGATCTCTCGAAATCGACGAATGTAATTTGCGGAATCTGCAATATTTCGAATGTTCTACAAGAAACTGCAAACTGATCCGCGAAAGATCACTTCTCGCATGTTAATATCGTTCTAATATTGGAACATTTTAAAGAACTTTTCAGATTGACTTCATATAATGTTTACTTTTTCAAAATGTTTAACTAAATTTTAAAATGAGCGATGGTTAACTACAGATAATTAAACATCATCCTGCAATATTATTTTCGCTTTCTCTTTCCTCTTTTTGTTCAACTCTCAAATTTCCTATAGGGCATAGAGAGCGTGTAATTATTCCTATTGTCATCTCATTTTGCTTTACAAAATGTGTATATTTATTTATTGAGGAAAAACAGCATCTTCTACAGGGTCGTTGTATGAGTACATATGTATCTATGTGTGTGTGTGTCTTTCAAAGAGTGTATGACACGAGTCTATTTTTCCATTCTCCTTGCTCTTCATGGATGTACGTTAACATTTATTAACGAATAGGCATATTAATGTTGAATAAGAAAATGTGTATGTGGGTATGTAAAGTACTGCTACATGTACCCCCTAGAACTAAAACAGCAACAACTACAACTACTGTAAAACAGGGATGGAAAATTGGAATTGGAAACTAACTTTAACCAATAAGATTATATGCATAGAACTGTAACAGAACTAGAACAGAACTAGAATAGAACTAGAATAGAACTAGAACAGAACTAGAACAGAACTAGAACAGAACTAGAACAGAACTAGAACAGAACTAGAACAGAACTAGAACAGAACTAGAACAGAACTAGAACAGAACTAGAACAGAACTAGAACAGAACTAGAACAGAACTAGAACAGAACTAGAACAGAACTAGAACAGAACTAGAACAGAACTAGAACAGAACTAGAACAGAACTAGAACAGAACTAGAACAGAACTAGAACAGAACTAGAACAGAACTAGAACAGAACTAGAACAGAACTAGTACAGAACTAGAACAGAACTAGAACAGAACTAGAACAGAATTAGAACAGGACTAGAACAGAACTAGAACAGAACTAGAACAGAACTAGAACAGAACTAGAACAGAACTAGAACAGAACTAGAACATAACTAGAACATAACTAGAGCATAACTAGAACAGAACTAGAACAGAACTAGAACAGAACTTGAACAGAACTAGAACAGAACTAGAACAGAACTAGAACAGAACTAGAACAGAACTAGAACAGAACTAGAACAGAACTAGAACAGAACTAGAACAGAACTAGAACAGAACTAGAACAGAACTAGAACAGAACTAGAACTGAACTAGAACAGATCTAGAACAGATCTAGAACAGAACTAGAACAGAACTAGAACAGAACTAGAACAGAACTAGAACAGAACTAGAACAGAACTAGAACAGAACTAGAACAGAACTAGAACAGAACTAGAACAGAACTAGAACAGAACTAGAACAGAACTAGAACAGAACTAGAACAGAACTAGAACAGAACTAGAACAGAACTAGAACAGAACTAGAACAGAACTAGAACAGAATTAGAACAGGACTAGAACAGAACTAGAACAGAACTAGATCAGAACTAGATCAGAACTAGAACATAACTAGAACATAACTAGAACAGAACTAGAACAGAACTAGAACAGAACTAGAACATAACTAGAACAGAACTAGAACATAACTAGAACAGAACTAGAACAGAACTAGAACAGAACTAGAACAGAACTAGAACAGAACAAGAACAGAACTAGAACAGAACTAGAACAGAACTAGAACAGAACTAGAACAGAACTGGAACAGAACTAGAACAGAACTAGAACAGAACTAGAACAGAACTAGAACAGAACTAGAACAGAACTAGAACAGAACTAGAACAGAACTAGAACAGAACTAGAACAGAACTAGAACAGAACTAGAACAGAACTAGAACAGAACTAGAACAGAACTAGAACAGAACTAGAACAGAACTAGAACAGAACTAGAACAGAACTAGAACAGAACTAGAACAGAACTAGAACAGAACTAGAACAGAACTAGAACAGAACTAGAACAGAACTAGAACAGAACTAGAACAGAACTAGAACAGAACTAGAACAGAACTAGAACAGAACTAGAACAGAACTAGAACAGAACTAGAACAGAACTAGAACAGAACTAGAACAGAACAGAACTAGAACTAGAACAGAACTAGAACTAAACTAGATATAAACTAGATACAAACTAGAACTAAACTAGAACAAAACTAGAACAAAACTAGAACTAAACTAGAACTAAACTAGAACTAACTCTGAACTAAACTCGAACTAAACTAGAACTAAACTAAAACTGACCTACAGCTGAAAGAGAAGTGAGCGTCTATGGAGTAGTCTAGTCCATGTGATAGTCCATTATAGACAAGTCTCAAAAAGTATTTAACAAAGCACCATATCAGTGAATTTTCCAACCCTGTTTGTACAGTAGATTAAAGAAAAACAAACAACCATATTGAGAAATTGATTAAATGAGAGAGTGTATGATATATTCTAAAGAGAGAAAACTCACCCCACTAAACATCCCAATTATACACACATATTGTTAGAAAATGAATGATGATGGTATTTGTCACACAATATATTGAGGAAAACAACACATCTGCCTGACTGACTGAATGCCTGCCTAAATGTTTTTGTATTTTGTTTTTGCTGTGAGGATGAGAGTACATTTGTGGAACAACTTGGAGAGTGTATGTTTAAACATTTCATATTCAGTTATGTTCTTGCTTTCGGTTTAATTACACATACATTTTGTTAAGTTTGCTGGCTGAATAAAAAAAACTACTATACGTCAAAAAATTGCTTATTTTATTCTTTAACAAAAATATACTTTTATAAAAATTTTCTTTACAAATACAAGAGAAAAGTTTTATACACAATACAGTGAAATATAAATAAATAAAAAGAAAGATTAAAATAACAGATGCCAAAATACAAGAATAAAAACAAAATAACATTAAAATAAAAAAGCTTTTTTCTTATAAATTGTGTTTAAATTTTTTTAAAAGAAAGGAAAAATAAGAAAAGATTTTTTGAAAAAGAATTGTGAAAAAAAAAAGAATTTTTAAACCAAAAAAAAGTGCGCGTAAGAATAAAGATTTAAAAACAAATTTTAAGTATGAAGTACTTTTTATAAAAATTAATAAATTTTAAATTACGTTGCAAAAAGTCTTTTTTTGTTGCGGAAGCTGTTTTAAGAAAAAAATTGTGTTTAAAATTATTGTTTAAAAAATTTTTGAAAAAAATTATAACAAAAACCAAAGAATTTCTAAAAATTTTGAAAAGTGCAAAAAAGTTCTAATTTGAATTTATGACAAAAAAAAAAGAAATAAATTCTTTATTTTTAATTTATATTAATTGAACTTTATTAATATTAGTGTTGTTGTTATTGTAAACAGCAGCATACATACACACAAGCATCATCAAACACCATCATCTCCTCTTTATTATCAACATCATCACCACAACACCCCTCTGCGAAAAAAAAAAACACACTCTCTCTTGGAGTAAACTATACTCTTTACACTTAAACAAAAAATTGTGTTAAAAAATTCTTAAACAAAAAAGGATTTTTTTTGCTGCTAAACACCAAAGGTAAGTTTTAAAAATTATTTATTATAAGAAAATCTTAAGCCTTCTTTTATGCCTCAAAAAATACGTTTGCCTCTTTTAATAAATTCAAACAAATTTTAAAAATTTTTTAAAAGTATTTCTTTTAGTGTTTTTTTCACCCCCTAAAATTTAGTTTCCTATTTGTTTGCTTTAGGGATTTTTCTGTTACATCTTTTCTGTTAATTTTTAACATCTGTTCAACTATTGCTATTTGTTGTTTTTGCATTTCATCCCTTACTTTCTTTACAAATTACGCATTTCAGTTCTTTTTCTATTCCATTCATTCTATTTCATCTTTTTTTCTTTACATTTTCATGTTTTCTTCTCATCTGCGTTATTTTGAAGGATTTTTTCTAATTGTTTGAAATTATTTTTTTTTGTTGGGGTTTATGATTCATCATCATTTTTATTAGAATATTTATTTGTTTTTCGGGGGGAATTTTTATCAACAAGTTTGTTTTTTGGTTGACAAATTTATTAATTCAAGGAATTTTTTATAAATTTTCAATGTCATTTTCTGACTTGCAGACTATAGATTGGATTATAATCCAGATCACACTATAAACTAGACTGGTTATAGACTAGACTATTGTTCAGAATACAGACTGGTCTAGTCTATAAAGTTCTAGTCTATATAGTTCGAGTTCAGTTCTAGTTAACCTCTAGTGCAGTTCTACTAGTTCTAGTTCAGTTCTAGTTATCCTCTAGTGCAGTTCTACTAGTTCTAGTTCAGTTCTAGTTCAGTTCTAGTTCAGTTTTAGTTCAGTTCTGGTTCAGTTCTAGTTCAGTTCTAGTTCAGTTCTAGTTCAGTTCTAGTTCAGTTCTAGTTCAGTTCTAGTTCAGTTCTAGTTCAGTTCTAGTTCAGTTCTAGTTCAGTTCTAGTTCAGTTCTAGTTCAGTTCTAGTTCAGTTCTAGTTCAGTTCTAGTTCAGTTCTAGTTCAGTTCTAGTTCAGTTCTAGTTCAGTTCTAGTTCAGTTCTAGTTCAGTTCTAGTTCAGTTCTAGTGCAGTTCTATTTATTTCTAGTTCAGTTCTAGTTCCGTTTTAGTTCAGTTCTAGTTCAGTTCTAGTTCAGTTCTAGTTCAGTTCTAGTTCAGTTTTAGTTCAGTTCTGGTTCAGTTCTAGTTCAGTTCTAGTTCAGTTCTAGTTCAGTTCTAGTTCAGTTCTAGTTCAGTTTTAGTTCAGTTCTGGTTCAGTTCTAGTTCAGTTCTAGTTCAGTTCTAGTTCAGTTCTAGTTCAGTTCTAGTTCAGTTCTAGTTCAGTTCTAGTTCAGTTCTAGTTCAGTTCTAGTTCAGTTCTAGTTCAGTTGTAGTTCAGTTGTAGTTCAGTTCTAGTTCAGTTCTAGTTCAGTTCTAGTTCAGTTCTAGTTCAGTTCTAGTTCAGTTCTAGTTCAGTTCTAGTTCAGTTCTAGTTCAGTTCTAGTTCAGTTCTAGTTCAGTTCTAGTTCAGTTCTAGTTCAGTTGTAGTTCAGTTCTAGTTCAGTTCTAGTTCAGTTCTAGTTCAGTTCTAGTTCAGTTCTAGTTCAGTTCTAGTTCAGTTCTAGTTCAGTTCTAGTTCAGTTCTAGTTCAGTTCTAGTTCAGTTCTAGTTCAGTTCTAGTTCAGTTCTAGTTCAGTTCTAGTTCAGTTTTAGTTCAGTTCTAGTTCAGTTCTAGTTCAGTTCTAGTTCAGTTCTAGTTCAGTTCTAGTTCAGTTCTAGTTCAGTTTTAGTTCAGTTCTAGTTCAGTTCTAGTTCAGTTCTAGTTCAGTTCTAGTTCAGTTCTAGTTCAGTTCTAGTTCAGTTCTAGTTCAGTTCTAGTTCTGTTCTAGTTCAGTTCTAGTTCAGTTCTAGTTCGGTTCTAGTTCGGTTCTAGTTCGGTTCTAGTTCAGTTCTAGTTTAGTTCTAGTTCGGTTCTAGTTCAGTTCTAGTTCAGTTCTAGTTCAGTTCTAGTTCAGTTCTAGTTCAGTTCTAGTTCAGTTCTAGTTCAGTTCTAGTTCAGTTCTAGTTCAGTTCTAGTTCAGTTCTAGTTCAGTTCTAGTTCAGTTCTAGTCTAGTTCTAGTTCAGTTCTAGTTCAGTTCTAGTTCAGTTCTAATTCAGTTCTAGCCCAGACTATAGACTTGTTTATAGCCTAGACTGTGAAGTAAAATATAGTCCAAATTATACTCTATACTAGTCAATACTTCAAACTATATATTTGTTCAACTTGTCTCACCCTATTAAACATTTATAATTCTGTTTTGTCAACAAATCAAAGTAATCGGACCTAGTGCAAAGATAAGGCCACATATTGTCAATATTTCAAATGCATCATTTTTTGAAAGAGGTCACAAAAGATTAAAGTTTAAGCAAATATAAAACAGTTTATTAACCCATACTCTCCGCTTTCTAACATGGGTTTATCTTATGGAATAAATTTAAGGAAATCTAATGACTAAATACAAAACAACAATTGAAAAACAACTGCCCCCTATATCTATATAAATATTTTTGTCATTTGTTTTTATTTGAGGGGTTATCAGTGTATTCATTCACTCATTTCCCTTAAATAATGCATGAATGTATTCAATTTCTTATCAGTCGATACGACAGCTTAGTTTAGTAATATTAAAATAAGAAGTTTTATATTAAAATAAACATTTACGGTTTGTATTTAATTTATTTTTGTAATAGCATTTGAGAATGAGTAAATTTTGTTGGAAAAATATTATAATAACATTTAATGTTAAATCATACAACTACTGCCCCCCCCCCCCCCTTTCGTACTTATTGTTATACATAGTTCAAACGAACTGCACTCATTAACTTTTTTATCATTTGATACAATATTTTGTAATAAATATTATGTTAGAACTGTTAGTTTTTATTGATTTTTGTTTTGTATATAGGTTAATAATGCATTTTGAAAAAAATATTGTAGAAACCTCAAATCTCAGGTGATTACACATTTTTTTATATACAAATTATACATATTTTTTTTGTTATAGATTTATGGGCTAGAAAAAAATTGATAGATAAATTACTTTGGTGGTATTCTAGCACCTTTTCATTTTAATAATCATTCACACAAAATTATTACTGAAAAAAACTACTTTAATGTATTTACTTTCTACTAACGGAATCCATAAAGGTGAAAAGATTTCTTTTAATTTTTATGTTTTTAAAACCAAAAGATGTTTTTCTACTCACCAGGTATTATAGTTTTCCAATTTTGTATTCAAATTTAGTATAAACTAAAACTCTGTATTAAGGTGTCAATATGAAATGCTAATACTCACCTCAGGAGGTGAATATTACGAAAATTAATAGCTTTTAGTAAAAAGGCTTTTGTAAACAGGTTTTCATTAATTTTGAAATTTAATTTAGTTTAAAATAATTTTTGTTTAATTTTCAATTTTGTATATTTTTCTTGAAATAAAATTTCGAATTAAAAATCATTAAAAATAAATTTTATTTAATTAGCAAAATTGGTGAGGCAGTGGTGAAATTTTAATCGAATAATAAAATAAAATCGAAATTAGAGGAGTTGACAGGTAGATTGATCCAGAGTCAATAAATTGAAATGTAATAAAAAATCATAGATAGATAGATAGATAGATAGATAGATAGATAGATAGATAGATAGATAGATAGATAGATAGATAGATAGATAGATAGATAGATAGATAGATAGATAGATAGATAGATAGATAGATAGATAGATAGATAGATAGATAGATAGATAGATAGATAGATAGATATATATATATATAGATAGATAGATAGATAGATAGATAGATAGATAGATAGATAGATAGATAGATAGATAGATAGATAGATAGATAGATAGATATATAGATAGATAGATAGATAGATAGATAGATAGATAGATAGATAGATAGATAGATAGATAGATAGATAGATAGATAGATAGATAGATAGATAGATAGATAGATAGATAGATAGATAGATAGATAGATAGATAGATAGATAGATAGATAGATAGATAGATAGATAGATAGATAGATAGATAGATAGATAGATAGATAGATAGATAGATAGATAGATAGATAGATAGATAGATAGATAGATAGATAGATAGATAGAATAGATAGATAAGATAGATAGATAGATAGATAGATAGATAGGGAATGATCTATAGTCAGAATATTATTGATTACTCTGTAGCCAAGAAACTACAGATTGATCTATAGTTTAGAGACTACAGATGGATGTATAGTCTAGAGACTACATATGACTCTATAGACAGGAGACTATATATTGATTTATTGATTGATCTATAGTCAAAAAGCTATAGATTGATCTATAGTCAAAAGACTACAGATTAATCTATAGTCAAGAGTCTACATATCGATCTGTGGTCAAAAGGCTACATATTGGTCTAAAGTCAAGAGAGTATATATTGGTCTATAGTCAAGACACTACAGATTGATCTATTCTCAGGAGACCACATATTTATCTATAGTTAAGAATCTTCAGATTGATCTATAGTCAAAAGGCTATAGATTGATCTATAGTCAGGAGATTGATTTATAGTCTAAAGTCTATATATTGATCTATAGCTAAAAGGCTATAGATTGATCTATAGTCAGGAAACTACAGATTGTTCTATAATCAAGAGACTACAGATTGATCTATAGTCAGGATACTATAGATTGATCTTTAGTCAAAAGACTACAGATTGATTTATAGTCAAAAGACTACAGATTAATCTGTAGTCCAGAGAATACACATTGACTGTAGATCATATCATGACTAGAACATATCTATGGTCAGAATACGGCAGTTTTGATCTTTAGCCAAGAGAGAAACACCCCCGAAATTGTCATTTAAAACGATCGAGTTGCAATTATAGTTTAAACTCATTTTAATTAAACAAATAAAACTATTCATAACAATTATTTTTGCAACGTAATTCAGTAACTTACTACCAGTTCAGTTACCAAAATCAGTATTGATTTGAAAAACCAGATTTATCTTTTCGTCTAACAAATTGCTCACATTTGTTTAGATAAAAAGAATAACAATATGTTTTGTTTTTTTTTTTTTTTCTATACATTTACTAAAGTTTTCCCACACAATTAAGGTATGAACTTGTTCATGAAAATTCACAAAACAAAACATTATACACAGATGTCTGACACAAAAAGCCATCAACGTGTAGTTTTGAAAACACTGAATTGTTTTCAATTCTAAGCTTAATGTCATTGCACAAATAATTTAAGCAAAAAAGTGGAAAAACAAAAAAAAACTATTTAATACTAATGAGTTTGAGCCGCTCTAGAATGCATTCATATATAAAAGTATGGGAGCTGCTTTAAAACACCTTAAATGGCATTTAATTAACAATTTATTACAAGCGATTTTTATCATAAATGGAAAGTGTTTTTTAAATATTTTTTTTTAAATGTGTGTGCATTTTAACAATTAAACGTTTTGGTTTTAATATAAAAACCAAGCTTAATGATTTATGTGTGTCAAATAGCTTAAGTATTTTATTTTTATTTAATGATTTCCTTTATAGATTAATTAAATACTTTAATTTTTTTTAATAATATTTTAAAAAAAAGTGATTAAAAATTGTTCAAACTTTTAAGTAAGTTGTTCAGTTTTGAGCAGAATTATATGTAAATTACAATTGAAATGATTGACTTAAGATCAATCCTTAGTCTCTTGACTGTAGAACACTCTATGGTCTATCAATTGTAGATCAATTTGAAGTCTCTTTACTAACGATCAACTGACCATAGATCATTCTAAAGCCTCTTAACTATAGATCAATGTATAGTACGTTGAAAATAGATCAGTCTATAGTATCTGAACTGCACATCAATCTACAACATATTCTCTTGATCAACAATCGTTCTTTAGTTTCTTGACTTTTGATCAATCCATAATCTCTCAGCTGTTGTAAATCAATCTTTATTCTCTTAGGTACAGATCAATCTATAGTAACTCAATTGTAGATCAATCTTTAGTCTATAGTCTGTCATCTGTAGATTAATATTTAGTCTATTGTCTCTCAAGTGTAGATCAAATTTAGATCATTTTATGGTCTCTTGGCTATAGATCAATGTAGATTTTGATGAGAATCAGTCTATAGTATCTAGAGTTCAGATCAATCTTCAATAAAGTCTCTTGACTGACGATCAGTCTTTAGATTCTTGACTTCAGATCTATCTATAGTATCTACAGTGAAAATTTGATATCTTGACTGCTGATCAATCTATAATCTTTGGACTAACTATTAATCTATTGTCTCTCTTGACTATCTAGGATACAGATCAGTTTGTAGTCTATTGTGGATAGATCAAGTCAATTGTTTCTAAACTCCCTATCAATCTACAATATTGTCTCTTGTTTATTGATCAATCTGTATTCTTTTTACTATAGATCAACCTATAATCTCTCAACGGAAATTCAATCTTTAGTCTCTTGACTGTAGAGCAATCCAAAGTTTCTCATTAGTAGTATTTGGTCTGCAGAACAATCTATATTCTCTCAAATGTAGATCAGATCTATCTATAGTATCTACAGTGAAAATTTGATATCTTGACTGCTGATCAATCTATAATCTTTTGACTAACGATTAATCTATTGTCTCTCTTGACTATCTAGGGTACAGATAGGCTATTGTGGATAGATCAAGTCAATTGTTTCTAAACTCCCTATCAATCTACAATATTGTCTCTTGTTTATAGATCAATCTGTTTTCATTTTACTATAGATCAACCTATAATCTCTCAACGGAAATTCAATCTTTAGTCTCTTGACTGTAGAGCAATTCACAGTTTCTCAATAGTAGTATTTAGTCTGCAGAACAATCTATATTCTGTCAAATCTAGATCAATCTTTAAACTCTTGAATGATCAATCTATATATCTATAGTCTCAAAACTGCAGATAAATCTATAGTCTACAGACTTCAGACCAATCTCTAGTCTCCAGGTTAACGATCATTTTGTATTCTCTTAACTGTAGATCAATATTTACTCTCATGATTGTAATCTCTTGACTTCTGAAACTGTTTCGTATGGAAAAAAGTTTTCTAAATAAATTTTTCCTCTAGAAATCTTTCTTCTTTGAGCAGTTTTTTGAAACGATTCACAAGATTAATTTCCTTCGATCATTAACACACTCTTTACAGCTCGTTTATTAGTCATTTATCATTTAATTAGGTTGTTTACACAAATAACAAATCAAAATACTTTTCCTCTTCTTCCACCAAATGGTCAGTAATTATTTTTATTTCGAAATTTTTGTTTATGTTTATTATCGATTATTTCACAATTTCAAGCAGGATGTCTCGTCGTTCAATTATAAACAACAATCATTTTCAAATAAACTCAAACATTTTATCGGCGACTATACTGCAATTTTGCTAAGAACTTTATTGATGAAAGATGGACCAAGGAGGAGTCAGATGAAGCAGCAAAAAAAAAGTGTTTATTATTTATTTAAGCAAACATTAAATGACTTTAATGCTGCAGCAGCCCAAAGAGTCCAGTTGTAATCATGATAGTGCGATTTAAATGTTATTTTTTCGATTTTTTCTTTCTTGATGCGGGTGTTGAAAGAAAAACGTCTGATGTTGGGCGTTTTTTTGTAGTTTTAAACCGATTTTCTAGACATTCATTTTTAATTTAAAGTAGGTATTTCTTTTTTTATTTCGTTTGTTGTACATATGCAAGTTGCAGTTATGTTTTAGTGTGTTATAATTTGTTAATTTTCTTCCATCTATGTTGGGGCCTACAATTTTTTGTCTGCTGTTGTTTTTTGTTGTTTCCTTTGATTATGAATGAGGTGGTGATGAGCGTTTTTGGATCGAAATAAAACCACAGTGTTTATAATTCAATTATAGCCGCACAAAACAACCTACACAGAAAAATAAATAAATAAAATAAATATGTATGTGCTGCGTGTACATTTGAATATAAAATTATTTTTTATGTTTTTTTTAGAGTTGGAGTAGGGAAAAAATCGTAAAAAAACTGCATTTCTATAACGAATTAAAAACAGGGTAAAGTAGTAGGAGGTGGCAAATAAAATCAAAACCTAGAAGAGAACTAGAACTGAACAGAACAGAACAGAACAAAACAGAACAAAACTCTAACTAGAACAGAACTAGAATAGAACTAGAACAGAACTAGAATAGAACTAGAACAGAACTAGAACAGAACTAGAACAGAACTAGAACAGAACTAGAACAGAACTAGAACAGAACTAGAACAGAACTAGAACAGAACTAGAACAGAACTAGAATAGAACTAGAACAGAACTAGAACAGAACTAGAATAGAACTAGAACAGAACTAGAACAGAACTAGAACAGAACTAGAACAGAACTAGAACAGAACTAGAACAGAACTAGAACAGAACTAGAACAGAACTAGAACAGTACTAGAACAGAACTAGAACAGAACTAGAACAGAACTAGAACAGAACTAGAACAGAACTAGAACAGAACTAGAACAGAACTAGAACAGAACTAGAACAGAACTAGAACAGAACTAGAACAGAACTAGAACAGAACTAGAACAGAACTAGAACAGAACTAGAACAGAACTAGAACAGAACTTGAACAGAACTAGAACAGAACTAGAACAGAACTAGAACAGAAATAGAACAGAACTAGAACAGAACTAGAACAGAACTAGAACACAACTAGAACACAACTAGAACACAACTAGAACACAACTAGAACACAGCTAGAACACAACTAGAACAGAACTAGAACAGAACTAGAACACAACTAGAACACAACTAGAACACAACTAGAACTGAACTAGAACAGAACTAGAACAGAACTAGAACAGAACTAGAACAGAACTAGAACAGAACTAGAACAGAACTAGAACAGAACTAGAACAGAACTAGAACAGAACTAGAACAGAACTAGAACAGAACTAGAACAGAACTAGAACAGAACTAGAACAGAACTAGAACAGTACTAGAACAGTACTAGAACAGTACTAGAATAGAACTAGAACAGAACTAAAACAGAACTAGAACACAACTAGAACACAACTAGAATACAACTAGAACTGAACTAGAACTGAAGTGACCCAAACATTTAATATGGATCAGTGGTGCTCAAACACATACTACCATAGACTACTATAGTTTTATTTGTGTTGGTAAAACAGAAATAAAAACCGTCTCTGATAAAAATCAATCTGCAGTCTCATGACTATAAGTAAATCTGTAGTGTCTCGATTAACGATCAATCTGTAGGCCCTGGATTATAGAACAATCTGTTTTCTCTTGACTCTAGATCAATGTATAGCCTTTTAGTTGTAAATGCCTGAACTAACGATCTCAATTCGAAGTCTCTAGACAACAGATTAAGCTTTTGTCTCTTGCCTGCAGATCTCAACTATAGTCACTGGATTATAGATCAATCTGTATTCTCTTCTGTAGATGAATCTTTAGACTCTTAAATAACGAACAATTTGTAGTCTTCTGACTATAGAGTAACCTTTAGTCTTTTGACTGTAAAACAGTCTAAGTACTATTAACTATAGAATGATCTTTAGATGAGTTTGTACTCTCCTGACTCAATTTATTGTTTAAATAACACCTTTTGTGAAAACACCTTGTCTTAGAGTGCAGAGCACTTTTTAAACGGCACACTTTTTGTATAAAGAAATATTTATTTTATTTAAAATAATTGTATTTTAAAAACTCGTGCAGGCGTCAAACTGACGTATAAATTAAATACTATTTTAAAATTCACTAAATTTTAAAATTTAAATTATATTTTTTTTAAACAGAAAAAAGTAAAATTTTGTTATAAAATTTTAGTTTGGGGAAATTATATATAAGGGAAGCCATTTTTTATGTGTTTGGTGCTCACAACTTGTTGCTCTCTTTTACAGTTTATTTTGATTTCCATAACCATTGACAGTTTAACAATTTGAGGTTATTTTATTTGTACTTACTCCTTAAACATGAGGTTACCATGACTAAAACTGTTGGCACAACAAATCCACTTCAGTATTTTGTTTTTTTTTTTTCAAAGTATATAGTTTTTTAAAGGAATAACTAAAAAAAAACAAGTGCTCCCAAAATTTTTCATTCAAAAATAAATTTTCATTTAAGCTTTCAAAACAAAATCTTGATATTTTGCTAATTTCCAAAAATAACTACAAAAAAACATGATGTTTGCCCCAAAATAATTTATATTGTTTAAAAAAAATTTAATGTAATATTAAAAAAAATGGCAGCCAGTCTACAATTGACTAAAAAGCAACAAATCTTAGCTAACTACAACAACAGCAACTACTACTTACAAGTAAGTGCTAAAAATCTCATTTGGTTGTCATTTTGGCAAGAATTTCGTCTTTGCTTGTTCTTTGAAATCATTGTGCTCTAGTTTTTCTTCATTTTTTTTTACTTTTTTTGTTTTTGTCATCATATTCTTACAAGTGAGTACTTGCAGTTACACTTGTTTTATTTTTATTAATAACAGGCCTGTCTGTGCATGTTCTAAACATGCCTGTTTTTTTAATAAACTTTTTCTTTACAAATGCATTTAAATTAATAATAATTTGTTATATTTTTCAGACATTTTCTAATTTATTTTGATTTTTTCTTTAAGTTGTGGTAAAATTTTAATATGTTGACATGATTTTTGTGTGCTTTAGGTTTTTTCCTTAATAATTGTGTAAATTTTAGCATTTTCTGCTTAATAATGATGAGAATTTTTGTAAATCATTAATAATTATTATATACACGGTGGCGTATACGTGCGTTTTAATGCAATTTACATTTTACAATTTAATTTCTTAATTAAATATTAATTCAAATTTGTTTATTTTGAGTTCAAAAGTAGCACAAAACTGATGGAATGAGAACAAATCATTTTATTACATATACATACATAGATTTTGAAGACTTTACAAGAATCGTTATACAATAGATTGGATCGTTAGTTTATGGTTTCTTGATCAATTTGTAATCTCTATAGATCAATATAAATACTCTTGATAAAAGATCGATTGGTACTCTCCTGGTTTTAGATCAATTCGATATCGCTTGGCAATTGATTAATCTATAGTCTTTTGACTATGGTTTTTGAACGATTGATCGTTCTATAGTTTCTTGACAATAATCTCAATTTTGTAGTCTCTTGACTAGAATGCAATCAATAGCCTTATATAATATATGACCTCACAACTGTAGATCAATCAATCTGGTTTCTTGTCCAAAGACCAATTTATAGTCTCTTGTCTATTGATCGATCAAGAGTACCTTCTCTATAGATCTATCTATAGTATCTTCTCTATAGATCAATTAGCCTATAATCTTCTTATCATAGATTAATCTATAGTCGTCTGACAACAGATCACTCTATAATCCATCCCATACTGACCATTGATCAGTCTAAAGTATCTTTACTATAGATCAATTTACAGTCTCCTAACCGTAGATCAATATAAAGTTTGAGAACCATAGATCAATCCAAAGTCAGTTGCCTATAGATCTATCTACAGTCTCTTCCCTAGACACCAATCTATGATATCATGACCAAAGTCCTATTTATCTTGTCTATTGATCGATCTAGAGTACCTTCTCTATAGATCTATCTAAAGTACCTTCTCTATAGATCTATCAGTAGTATCTTTTCTATAGATCAATCAGCCTATAATCTTCTGATCAAAGATCAATCTATAGTCGTCTGACAACAGATCACTCTATAATCTCATACTAATCATTGATCTCATTGATCACTCTAAAGTGTCTTTACTATAGATCAATATATAGTATCTTGTCTATAGAATAATCCAAGGCCTCTTCATTATGGATCAATCCCATTGATCTCTTGACTAATAGATTGGTGTCTTTATTTATTCTTTGGAAGAGCTGCTTTTTCTTTACAAAAGTCTCTTCCCAAGGCAGTTACCAGTTACTCTATACATTTTAGTGGGTACTCGATTTTTCATAAAAATTATTAAAATTATTTTAAAATCATAAAAATAAGTGCAAAGTTATAGGAAAAAAGAAGGTTAATATCTAACGGGTACCGGTTACCCGGTAAATTTTAGTGGTTGCTTTAACTTTTTTTGGTAAAAATTATTAAAACTGGTTTAATATTTCAAAAATAGTTAACAATTTTAAGCAAAATCAGAAAACATAGCAAATGGATAACGGTTACGTGATCGGTTTTAGTGGGTGCACGCATTTTTTCTTCATAAAACTCATAGAATCTTTGAAATTATTATAAAGTTATTAAAAGAGGAGGAGAATTAATGGGCGAAAACCGGTTACTTGCATGATTTCAACGATTGCTCAATAAATTTTTGCGGGTACTCGCAATTTTTCTTCATAAAAACTCATGGAATCTTTGATATAAGTATTAAATTATTCAAAAAAAGAGGAAAAATATTAATCGAATAGCGGTTACTCGCATGATTTACACGGTTACTCGTTAAATTTTAGTGGGTAATCGCAATTTGTCTTCATAAAACTCATGGAATTTTTTTCTAAAACTTATGGGAACTTTGTATAAAATTAATGAAAAGGGAGGAACATTATTAATCGAAAACCGGTTACTCGCTTGATTTAAACGGTTACTCGTTAAATTTTAGTGGGTAATCGCAATTTTTCTTTATAAAACTCATGGAATCTTTGAAATGAGTATAAAACTAATGAAAGGGGAGAAAAAGTATTAGTCGAAAACCGGTTACTTGCTTGTTTTAAACGGTTACTCGTTAAAATTTAGCGCGTAATCGCAATTTTTCTTTATAAAACTTATGGAAACTTTGAAATGAGTATAAAACTAATAAAAAGGGAGGAAAATTATTAGCAGAAAACTGGTTACTCGCTTGATTTAAACGATTACTCGAAAAATTTTTGCGGGTACTCGCATTTTTTCTTCATAAAAATCGTGAAATCTTGGAAATAGGTATTAAATTATTGAAAAAGGAAGAAAAATATTAATCGAGTAGCGGTTACTTGCCTGTTTTAAACGGTTACTCGTTAAATTTTAGTGGGTAATCGAAATTTTTTTTTACAAAACTCATGGAATCTTTGAAATGAGTATAAAACTAATGAAAGGGAAGAAAAAGTATTAGTCGAAAACCGGTTACTTGCTTGTTTTAAACGGTTACTCGTTAACATTTAGAGCGTAATCGCAATTTTTCTTTATAAAACTTATGGAAACTTTGAAATGAGTATAAAACTAATGAAAAGGGAGGAAAATTATTAGCAGAAAACTGGTTACTCGCTTGATTTAAACGATTACTCGAAAAATTTTTGCGGGTACTCGCATTTTTTCTTCATAAAAATCATGAAATCTTCGAAATAAGTATTAAATTATTGAAAAAAGGAAAAAAATATTAATCGAATAGCAGTTACTTGCTTGTTTTAAACGGTTACTCGTTAAATTTTAGTGGGTACTCGGGTGTTTTCTTTTAAAACAAATGGAATCTTTGAAATAAGTACAAAATTAATGAAAGGGGAGGAAAGTTATTGACCGGATACTCTTACGCTTGATTTACATGGTTACTCGATAAATTGTTGCGGTTACTTGCATTTTTCCTTTATAGAAATAATGGAATTTTTAAAAAAAGTATTAAATTATTGAAAATTCCAGGAAAATGTTAATCAAATAGCGGTTACAAGCTTGTTTAAAACGATTACTCGTTAAATTTTAGTGAGTAATCGCAATTTTTCTTTATAAAACTCGTAGAAACTTTTAAATGAGTACAAAATTAATGAAAAGTGTGGGTTAATATAAGCAGAAAAATGGTTACTCGCTTGATTTAAACGAATACTCGTTAAATTTTATTGGGTAATGGTAGTTTTTCTGCATAAAACTTTTGGAATCATTAAAATAAGTTTGAAATTATTGAAATAAAGTGAAAAAATATCAAGCGAATACCGGTTACCCGGGTACTCGTTACATGTTTATGATTGTTTTTGCATAATTTTAAATGATATTTATAATAATTAATCATTTAGCAAACATTAAGGACATGTTTAAACTTTAAAATTTTAAGTATTTTTGCCAAATTTAGTCAAATTAAAAACGACATTGACAGTTGTTATTTTTAATTTGATTTTATTTTGAATTTTTTATTTAAAATTTACTTTTCCTTTAGCGAAAAAAACTGGGTGTGAATAAACTTGTGTAGATAATTTGCAAAATGTATTTTTTGAATGGTAAAAAAGGCTAAAAGAAAACATCAAACCAATTAAAACTATTTAGATGTAGAAAATTTATTTTTAAACAATTTCTAATTCTAGATCAAATAAAACACAATTAGTGTGAACGCAGACATACACACACAGGAAAACAACAACCAAATATTATAAATGATGAACCCTTAATAGAGGAGTTTTTACTACATGTGGCAAACACGACGGACTCACTCATCGTTTTTTTGTTTGTTTTTCGTTTACGTTTTCTGCCTCTACTGGCTGCGTGTGTGATCAAAATTTAAAGTGACTCACTCATGCTGCTGCATCATCATATGCCTGCAAGAACAACGCAACAACAACTTAATTTAATTAGATTGAAATATAAAATTCAAACTGAAATTTCAAAAAAACGTAAAAGAAGAAAATAATTTACAAATAAAATACTACTCACCAACAACAAATTAACAAACAAACAGCATATCAAATTGATATTATAATAAACTTTTTCAATAAAATATTGAATGTTGAAACCAAAGATTTTGTAAACTGCAAAGAATTTCAAAACAAAAATAAGTGAAACCAAAGAGTCTGAAAAAAAAGTTTAACAAAAGAAAAAAAAAAAGAATATTTTAAATATTCGACCAAAACTACCAAAAACAAACAAAATAATTTTTATTATTTTAACAATTAGATTTATTTTAATAATTAATGCCTTAAATATGTCGGGTATATTTCGTAGTAATTCAACTTCGAATCATACAAATGATTCAACACCCAATAAACGTTTTTCTTTCAGTGCATTTTGGTAAGATTAATATTATTATTTATTTATTTATTTTAAATTCTTTATAGAGCATGCAAAATTTCTTCGTCTAGTATTAAAAATACTTTTATGATTTGTTTACGCTAACCTCTAGTGGTTAACCATTAACCGATTTGTTTTCCGCTTTCAAATTTTTCTATTTATTACTTTTAAGAAATTCTTATTACGTCTTAAGAAAAAACATTTTTAAAGCATGACCGTTCAAAAACCACAACTTTTTAAAGCTAAAAAATATTATTAACCAGTTAACCGGTTACTTGTTATGAGTAACCGAGCCATTAACCAAGAAAATTAACTTTTTTATATAGTTTTACTAAGAAAAGTAGTTTTTTTTTACAAAAAATCCATAAAACGGTTTAAAATCTTAAAAATGGATATAATGGTTACTCGATTACTCGTTAAATTTTGAATAGCTACTTGCTTATTTTTTGATAAAAAACATTAAAACCTTTAAAATGATAGAAATAGTTATACATTTTACCGAAAAGAAAGATATATAGTAAATGAATATCGGTTACTTGTTACATTTTGGTGGGTACTCACACTTTTTTTGGTAAAAGTAAATAAAATATGTTTAAAATCTTTGAAATAGTCAAGCAAATAGTTTTGAGCAAAAGAAAGAAATATATTAAACGGGTACCGGTTACTTGTTATATGTTGGTGGGTACTCCCACTTTTTTTTGCTAAAAGTAATTTAAACATGTTTAAAATCTTTCAAATAGTCATATATTTCAATCAAAAGAAAGAAATATATTAAACGGGGACCGGTTACTCGGCAAATTTTAATGGGTACTCGTATTTTTTCGATAAAAATCATTAAAATTTGTTAAGATACATATTATTTTTAGATTATTAGTAGAAAATATAAAAAATATATTCAATGAATACCGGTTACTTCTGAAATTTTAATGGGTACTCGCTCTCTTTTAGATAAAAACCATTATAACGTGTTTAAAATCTTTAAAATATATAGAAAATTTAAGCAGAAGAGCGAAACATATTAAACGGTTACCGGTTACTCAGCGAATTTTTGTGGTTACTCGCATTTTTTTTAATAAAAATCATTAAAATTTGTTTAGATTCCTAAATATAAGTAGAAATTTAAGAAAAATAAGGAAATATATTAAATGAATAACGGTTACTTGATAGATTTTAATGAGTACTCACATTTTTTTGTGACAAATCTCATAAATTTTAGTGGTTACTCGACCTTTTTGAGAAAAAATCTTTAAAATTTTTTCACATTCATAAAAATAAGTATAAAATTTAATAAAACCAATTATTATATTAAATTAGTACCGGTTACTTGGTTGATATTAGTGAGTACTCTTCCTTTTTTTCACAAAAACCATAAAATAGTTTAAAGAATCTTAAAAATTTGTATAATAATGATAAAAAGTCATGAAAATATGTAAGACTAATCAGTTTATGAAATGACTTAACCGGGTACTCGTTAAATTTTAATGGGTACTCGCACTTTTTTTTGCTAAAAATCTTTAAAATATGTTTAAAATCATAAAAATAAACGTAAATTTTAAGCTAAACAAATAAACTTATTAAAGAACTAGCGGTTACTCGTCAAATTTTAGTGGTTACTTGAACTTTTTAGTTGAAAATTATTTATTAACATGTTTATTATTATTAAAATCATAAAAATAAATAAAAAAATACATAAAATACAAAAATAATATCAATTGAGTACTGGTTACCCGTTAAATTATAGTGGGTACTCGCACTTTTTCCCCCCAAAAATCATAAATATTTGTTTAGAATCATAGAATAATGTATAAATAGTTGAAAAAATCAAGAATATATTATATATTAATCGGTTAATCGCTTGATTTAAACGGGTACTCGCTAAATTTTACTGAGTATTCGCACTTTTATAGATAAAAATCATTAAAATTGTGTTTAAAATCTTTATAAAAAGTAAAAATAATAGAAAAAACTATTCTAACATTCATTGAGTATTGGTTACTCGCAATAATTTTTCATAAAAATCATTAGAAATACTTTAGAATTGTGGAAATATGTTAACGTTCAGAAAAAATTCACAAAAATATTAAACGGCAAGCGATTAGTTAATAGATTTAAACGAGTACTCGTTCAATTTTAGTGGTTACTCACAATTTTTCTGCATAAAAATCTTTGAAAACCTAGAAACTTTGCTATAAAAGTATAGAGTTGATGTTAAAGTTGAGTTAAATATTAATTGGGAACCGGTTACCCGCTTGACTTTAATGGTTACTCAAATATTTTTTTCCATGAAATTTTCATTTTTCAAAATTTCATATATTCAATTAAAAATTGGCATAATTTTGCTTTTATAAATAAACCGATTACTTTTTCACACTATTCCCTCTAAAGCATGCCTATGCAAGCGCGATAACATTGTTTACATTGTAGATTTTTTCTTTCGTATAAATTTTTATTTATTTATATGACTTTACAATACAAATAGACGACGTCTTTGAAAACAACAACAAGTAAGACGACGTATTTTTACATTTATTTTTATACAAAAAAAAAAAAAAAAAAATTCATTTGATTTCAAGCAAATAATCACTTTGTAAAGAACACATCAACAAGACTATAAAATATACAATTTAAAACAAAACACATTCATAATGAAGTCAAATGAGTTTTACTACGAATAAAAGAGCAAAGTTGCAAAAAAATTGTAAATAAATTAAATAAAAATTATTTCAAATTTAAATGAAGTTAAAATTTTAGAAAAGTTTTAAGAGGATTTAGGGTTTATTTGAGTATAATTAAAAAAAATATTGTTGAATTTTACGAATTTTATCAATAATTTAATTAAAATTATTTAAATTTGCTTAAGCTTTATTTTATATAAATTTTCTTAAAAGTACTTATTTGGTTAATTTTTTTTAACATTATCTTTTATTGAATTGAAACTGTAACGGAAGTTTGTGTCACATTTAAAAATGGAAATTATGAAATCTATTCAAGCAGAAATATTTGGGTGGGATTTCAAATTTTAGTTGTTTTTTAATTAAGATTAGAACCGTAATTTGTACAACATAGCAACAACATTTTTTACTCTTTATAGAATAGTTAAGTATCTTATCAAATAATTCTTAATAGAAAACTCTTTTTATATAGAAAATTGTAATTACACTCCTCTCAAGAAAACTCTAGTTCTAGTTCAGCTCTAGCTTAGTTCTAGTTCAGTTCTAGTTCAGTTCTGGTTCAGTTCTAGTTCAGTTCTAGTTCAGTTTTAGTTCAGTTCTAGTTCAGTTCTAGTTCAGTTCTAGTTCAGTTCTAGTTCAGTTCTAGTTCAGTTCTAGTTCAGTTCTACATCTGTTCTAGTTCAGTTCTAGTTCAGCTCTAGCTTAGTTCTAGTTCAGTTCTAGTTCAGTTCTGGTTCAGTTCTAGTTCAGTTCTAGTTCAGTTCTAGTTCAGTTTTAGTTCAGTTCTAGTTCAGTTCTAGTTCAGTTCTAGTTCAGTTCTAGTTCAGTTCTAGATCTGTTCTAGTTCAGTTCTAGTTCAGTTCTAGTTCTGTTCTAGTTCAGTTCTAGTTCAGTTCTAGTTCTGTTCTAGTTCAGTTCTAGTTCAGTTCTAGTTCAGTTCTAGTTCAGTTCTAGTTCAGTTCTAGTTCAGTTCTAGTTCAGTTCTAGTTCAGTTCTAGTTCAGTTCTAGTTCAGTTCTAGTTCAGTTCTAGTTCAGTTCTAGTTCAGTTCTAGTTCAGTTCTAGTTCAGTTCTAGTTCAGTTCTAGTTCAGTTCTAGTTCAGTTCTAGTTCAGTTCTAGTTCAGTTCTAGTTCAATTCTAGTTCAGTTCTAGTTCAGTTCTAGTTCAGTTCTAGTTCAGTTCTAGTTCAGTTCTAGTTCAGTTCTAGTTCAGTTCTAGTTCAGTTCTAGTTCAGTTCTAGTTCAGTTCTAGTTCAGTTCTAGTTCAGTTCTAGTTCAGTTCTAGTTCAGTTCTAGTTCAGTTCTTGTTCAGTTCTAGTTCAGTTCTTGTTCAGTTCTAGTTCAGTTCTAGTTCTGTTCTAGTTCAGTTCTAGTTCAGTTCTAGTTCAGTTCTAGTTCAGTTCTAGTTCAGTTCTAGTTCAGTTCTAGTTCAGTTCTAGTTCAGTTCTAGTTCAGTTCTAGTTCAGTTCTAGTTCAGTTCTAGTTCAGTTCTAGTTCAGTTCTAGTTCAGTTCTAGTTCAGTTCTAGTTCAGTTCTAGTTCAGTTCTAGTTCAGTTCTAGTTCAGTTCTAGTTCAGTTCTAGTTCAGTTCTAGTTCAGTTCTAGTTCAGTTCTATTAGTTCAGTCTAGTGCAGTTCTAGTTCAGTTCTAGTTCAGTTCTAGTTCAGTTCTAGTTCAGTTCTAGTAGTTCATTTTTCAGTCTAGTTCAGTTTTAGTTCAGTTTTAGTTCAGTACTAGTTCAGTTCTAGATCTGTTCTAGTTCAGTTCTAGTTCAGTTCTAGTTCAGTTCTAGTTCAGTTCTAATTCAGTTCTAATTCAGTTCTAGTTAAGTTCTAGTTCAGTTCTATTTCAGTTCTATTTCAGTTCTAGTTCCGTTCTAGTTCAGTTCTAGTTCAGTTCTAGTTCAGTTCTACTCCAGTTCTACTTCAGTTCTACTTCAGTTCTACCTCAGTTCTACTTCAGTTCTAGTTCAGTTCTATTTCAGTTCTATTTCAGTTCTAGTTCAGTTCTAGTTCAGTTCTAGTTCAGTTCTAGTTCAGTTCTAGTTCAGTTCTAATTCAGTTCTAGTTCTGTTCTAGTTCAGTTCTAGTTCAGTTCTAGTTCTAGTTCAGTTCTAGTTCAGTTTTAGTTCAGTTTTAGTTCAGTTCTAGTTCAGTTTTATTGGATAATGTTAACAAAGTTTTCTTTAGAAAGTTTAAGATTAAAAAATAACTCATCAACTTTCAATAATTTTCTTCAAAAAAATCCATTTATTTCCTTTTCCAATTTCCATCTTACACAAAACAATATTCAATATCACTTAAACTCGTCGACGTTTCATTACAAAACTCTCCATACACTGACCAAGCCGTCCAACCCTGCTGTTTCAATATAATGCGAGCACATCGAACCGCTTGTGTTATATCATCCAACAGTAAATCCGTACAATTAACATTACACTCATTAGCCGAAAAGAATAAATCACGAGATTTATTTTGTGGTTGACACCAATATTTATCGCTTATTTGAAATATGCCATAATCAAAGGAACCATCTAAATTACGTTTGCCAATGGCATCGGTATGATAACGACTCTCGTATTCCGCTATACACGACCACAAAGGTAATTCCGTTTTGGGCACGTCCAATATATACAGTTGACCTGCAAATTCACATGGCTGTAGACGACGCGTCTGCGCAATATGAATAAATTGTAAAAACGTCACTAATATGCAAATCCGGTAAAGAACAGCACGTGCTAAAATAAATTGTTTTGATGGCAGGCGTTGTTGACAATATGAGTTTTTATTGGAATTTTGATTAGGATTTATAAGCAGCATTTTATTAAGAAATAAAACTTTTTAATTTTAATGTTGTGTATTTATGACCAATTGTTTAACAATGAATGACAGGAAAAATGTTATTTTAAAAGTACATATTGTTCAATTCCATCTCTCACTCTCCTACAATTGTTATTTAATTATTAGATTTTTTTTTTGTATTTTATTGTTTATTTGTTGTCTATTGTTTATTTTATTAAAAAAAAACAACTTTGCAAGTTAAATCTGAGTAAAGTTAAAAAAAAAATTTAGTTACTTTAATTAATAGTTTTTTTTCTTTCTTTTAAACAATAATTTTAACAACAAGAAACCGGTTTCGAGTTTCAACATAGATTTTTATTTATAAAACAATAGATGTTTAAATTTCTGTTGCACTTTTTTTGCGTGTTTAAAGTTTGCGACCGTGAAAAGCATATTTATATGAGAATAGAAACATAATTAAGACGTTAAGCTTCATATCTCTACTGAAAGATGTGAACACTATATTCTATAGGAAACTTTAAATACAAATTTCTTTACAAAAGTGTGAACACCGATTTCTATGGAAAAGTTTTCTTGAGAAAACTTTAAAATAGTGTGAACACAGACTAGATTATAGAATAGGCTATAGACTAGACTATAGAATAGGCTATAGACTAGACTATAGAGTAGGCTATAGACTAGACTATTGACTAGACTATAGACTAGACTATATACTAGGCTATAGAGTAGACAATAAACTAGACTATAGACTAGATTATACGCTAGAATAGACTATACACTAGACTAGAATAGACTATAGACCAGACTGGACTATAGACTAGACTATAGACTAGACTATAGACTAGATTATACGCTAGACTATAGACTAGATTATACGCTAGACTATAGACTAGACTAGTTTATAGACTAGACTATAGACTAGACTATAGACTAGACTATAGACTAGACTATAGACTAGACTATAGACTAGACTATAGACTAGACTATAGACTAGACTATAGACTAGACTATAGACTAGAATATAGACTAGACTATAGACGAGACTATAGACTAGACTATAGACTAGACTATAGACGATACTGTAGACTAGACTATAGACTAGACTATAGACTAGACTATAGACTAGACTATAGACTAGACTATAGACTAGACTATAGACTAGACTATAGACTAGACTATAGACTAGACTATAGACTAGACTATAGACTAGACTATAGACTAGACTATAGACTAGACTATAGACTAGACTATAGACTAGACTATAGACTATACTATAGACTAGACTATAGACTAGACTATAGACTAGACTATAGACTAGACTATAGACTAGACTATAGACTACTAGACTAGACTATAGACTAGACTATAGTCTAGACTATAGACTAGACTATAGTCTAGACTATAGACTAGACTATAGACTAGACTATAGACTAGACTATAGACTAGACTATAGACTAGACTATAGACTAGACTATAGACTAGACTATAGACTAGACTATAGACTAGACTATAGACTAGACTATAGACTAGACTATAGACTAGACTATAGACTAGACTATAGACTAGACTATAGACTAGACTATAGACTAGACTATAGACTAGACTATAGACTAGACTATAGACTAGACTATAGACTAGACTATATCTAGACTATACTAAGTTAGACTAGGTTATAGATAAAACTTTGTTCAGACACTTTTCTATAGAAAACTGTGTTCACACTTTTATTTACATCCTTTTGTCTGCTTAAGTGTTAATTTTTCTTAAATATTTCTTATTTTAATAAAAGCACGTTCCACATTATTAACTTAAACAATTTCCTGCAGTTTATTTAAATTTCGCCATAAAAATTATTGATTTTGTAATAAAATATTGTAATTTTAAAATGTTCTAAAAATATAGCTAAAAAATTACAAAATTTTTGAGTTAAATGGCCTAAATTTTGTTCGTTTATAGAAAATTTTTTGAAAATGTAACAAAAATTACTAAAAAAATATAAGGAAAACTCTTTAAAAAAATTCAACATTTGGCGAAATATGAAACATTTCAATTCGCACAAGCATGAATGAATAAAAATTATGTATAATAAATTTTAAATAAAACAACAACAATTACAATAAAAAATTTGTTTATGTATAGTTTGCTTCATTCAATGCATTGCTTTGTAACAAAAAAAAAAAATAAAGATAAAACTGTCTTAATTTATCATTCTTTAGACAGTAGGGCATTGTTTAAACTTTAAAGAATACATAAGGAAAAAACAACGATGCACATTAGCCCTTTTTCCCTCTCATACTATACGAAACTAAAACACTTGTTCATATAGAAAGTAAAATGATCATATTCAGTTTTTTATTTTTTGTAAACAAAATTTTTTATTCATATTTTACTTTAAACTTTAAAAACATTCTTCTATAGACGGCAAAGATTTCAATTTATTACAACGACCATTGTAAGCAGCCCAAGCTCGCCAACCTTGACGTTTCTTAACATTATGAGCACATTTAACAGCTTCTGCTATATTGTCAGTTATTAAAGATTGACATGAAACTTTACATAGATTAGCAGAGGGTCTTGAAGCTCTCGATTGACACCAATAACGATCACTAACTTGAAAAAGACCATAATCATTAGACCAATTGCCATTTAATTGGCCCACCGCCGAAGTATTAAATTTACTTTCAAATTGTGCAATGCAACACCAGGTGGCAAGTTCATGTTTAGAAGTACCCAAACGTAACATTTCTCGAGCCAAATCACAGCGTTTTAAAATGCGACCCTCGCATAAAAATAATATATTGATTATAATAACACAAAAGATTTTAACAAAATTTTTGCAAAACATTTGAAGACGTTTTCTTGCTTTAATGTTGTTTGTTTAAGAATTTCAATATTTCTACTAAAACTGCATAATTTAGTTTAAAGCGTTTTAAGCCTAACTTAAAAGTTTTGTGTTTGTTTAAGAATAAAATATTTAAAATGAGTACAACAACAAGATTATTAATAATTCTTTAGAAAAAAACTTGTTTTATAGAACAACACCCTAAATTGTTGCTAAATATTTAAACATGTGTCTTTATGTTTGTAATAACAAACAAAAAAATTGTGACATAAAAGTCTATAATAGAGTTATAAAAGTTCTATAAATAGGAAGGTTACGAAAAAAGTTTTAAGACAAACTTAATAAGAATGATAGTTTTCTAGAGAAATGTTTATTTTTTAGGCCCCTTTCTAGAGAAAACTGTGTTCATATAACTCTTTTTCTTTAAAATACTATGTTCACACTAAAGTTTTTCATAGGAAACTGTGTTCACACAAAACTTTTTTATAGGAAACTGTGCTCACACTAAAGAAAAATATGTTTATGTTTACATTAAACTGTGTTCACACTTTTCTATAGATAACTGTGTTGTTTACACTTTTCTATAGAAAACTGTGTTTACACTTTTCTATAGAAAACTGTGTTTACACTTTTCTATAGAAAACTTTTTTACACTTTTCCATAGAAGACTGTGTTTACACTTTTCCATAGAAAACTGTGTTTACACTTTTCCATAGAAAACTGTGTTTACACTTTTCTATAGAAAACTGTGTTTACACTTTTCTATAAAAAATGTGTTTACACTTTTCATAGAAAACTGTGTTTATACTTTTCTATAGAACACTGTGTTTACACTTTTCCATAGAAAACTGTGTTTACAATTTCTATAGAAAACTGTGTTGTTTACACTTTTCTATAGAAAACTGTGTTGTTTACACTTTTCTATAGAAAACTGTGTTGTTTACACTTTTCTATAGAAAACTGTGTTGTTTACACTTTTCTATAGAAAACTGTGTTGTTTACACTTTTCTATAGAAAACTGTGTTGTTTACACTTTTCTATAGAAAACTGTGTTGTTTACACTTTTCTATAGAAAACTGTGTTGTTTACACTTTTCTATAGAAAACTGTGTTGTTTACACTTTTCTATAGAAAACTGTTTTGTTTACACTTTTCTATAGAAAACTGTGTTTACACTTTTCTATAGAAAACTGTGTTTACACTTTTCTATAGAAAACTGTGATCAAACTTTTCTATAGAAAACTGTTTTCACACCATAAAACAAACTCTCAAAAGAACTTTTAAACAATTTACATCACTCTTTGACATTTAGCAGTATTTTAGGCAATTTATTGTTATGCAATGCTGCCAACTTGTTTTGCAATTAATAGCGCAGCATTTTATTATTTTACATTTATTTTTATTATTCGATAAATGTTAAACTTCTTGAGTCACTGCAGTTTTATGCCTTGTACATTTTTTTTATAAAAAATGCATTTAAAATTCCATAAAACAAGAAATTGTTTATATAATGGACAACATCGACCACAGGTATTGGTTACTAAAATAAACAATTTATAAAAAAAGTACAAACTCTATTCAAAAAGAAAACTCAAGTATTTTTTTTTAAAGAATAGTTCCCATAAACTGTCCAGCTCTATGGGCCGTCTTATATATTATGTTTATTTAAGGGTTACAAACAAAATAGCGTCCATTTGTTTTGTTTTGATAATATAAATGACGTTTCTAGATCAAAAGATTTTTGGAAATTTTAGTTTTTTTGTTAAAGAGTTCTTAGATTGAGTTTCTTTTTATCAACGTTTTGTTTATACATTGCTCAATTGTTGAAGTAGAAAAAATGCATTACCCACTGTTTTTTTTTTTTAAAGCATATAATTAAGTAAATTTTATAATATTTTTTATTTGCTGACCAGCTTGTTGAGTTTGCTTAAAGAAACCGAATTAATTTGTTGAGAAAACCGCAAAAGATTTTATAAATAGAAATAAAATTGTGTAATTTATGCAAGTAAACACAAAGAAAGCGATAGATGCAGTGCGAAATTTAGGTTAAAAATTGCATAGACAAAAACTTTTCTAAGAAAACTGTGCTCATACTTTTCTATAGACAACTGTGTTTAAGTCTATAGTCTAGTCTATGTCTAGTCTATAGTCTAGTCTATAGTCTAGTCTATAGTCTAGTCTATAGTCTAGTCTAGTCTAGTCTATAGTCTAGTCTATAGTCTAGTCTATAGTCTAGTCTATAGTCTAGTCTATAGTCTAGTCTATAGTCTAGTCTATAGTCTAGTCTATAGTCTAGTCTATAGTCTAGTCTAGTCTAGTCTATAGTCTAGTCTAGTATAGTCTATAGTCTAGTCTATAGTCTAGTCTATAGTCTAGTCTATAGTCTAGTCTATAGTCTAGTCTATAGTCTAGTCTATAGTCTAGTCTATAGTCTAGTCTATAGTCTAGTCTATAGTCTAGTCTATTGTCTAGTCTATAGTCTAGTCTATAGTCTAGTCTAATTAGTCTATAGTCTAGTCTAGTCTAGACTATAGACTAGTCTGTAGTCTAGTCTATAGTCTAGTCTATAGTCTAGTCTATAGTCTAGTCTATAGTCTAGTCTATAGTCTAGTCTATAGTCTAGTCTATAGTCTAGTCTATAGTCTAGTCTATAGTCTAGTCTATAGTCTAGTCTATAGTCTAGTCTATAGTCTAGTCTATAGTCTAGTCTATAGTCTAGTCTATAGTCTAGTCTATAGTCTACTCTATAGTCTAGTCTATAGTCTAGTCTATAGTCTAGTCTATAGTCTAGTCTAAAGTGTAGTCTATAGTCTCTATGAACACATTTTTTATAGAAAATATGAACACAGTTTTCTTTTGAAAATTTTGAGTGCAGAAAAGTGGGAACACACTTTTCTATAGAAATTCAGTTTTCTTTAGAATAGTGTGAACAGAGTTTTTTATAGATTAATTTCTTTTCTATAGAAAATTGTTTTTTTTTTTTTATTCACATACAAAATCAGCCCTGAACTTTAACAGTTCTCCAGCATTTGAAATGTTCTTGATTGTCAGACGCTCGTTTTAGTTTCGTTTCTTTTGAATTAGACATGTAACATGGTTGATTTTTGTTTTAGTTTTTTTCAGGAAAATCTATTTTTAAATAAATTTATAAAAAAACACACAAACACATTTCATGCTTGAGTATACATTTTTTTTTTTAAATAGATTTTCTTTACGCGGCCTAACATTTTAAATGAAAACCTTGAGACTTTTATACGAAAAAAAGGGAAAATTTATTATTTAAGGAACTAGAAATTCAATGTTAATTTTTGAAATTAAATTAACGCCTTTAGGTCTGCTTTAATGTTTAACAAGAATAATTTTTTTGCATTAAATAAACTCTTCAAAAAAATTTTCCATTTTGTGACAAAAGTTTTAAATTGCTCTATAATCAAAAAAATCATGTTAAATAAATCAAGCTTCTTTCTTTCTTTCTTTTGTTATTGTTGTTTTCCTCTTTAAGCTTTTATGAATTTATTATTAAAAAGAATATTTCTTTAGCATGTGTAGCTTTTTTAAGATTCATCACTTTTTTGCTGATGATGACAAATTTAACTCAAATAGTGGACAATTTAAATAATTGTTATATGAGGTCATTTTAACAAAACATTTCATCTCTACATAATTAAGTTAATTTTGGGGGAATTTAATAGTTTAATTGATGTTTTAATTTATATGAATTAATAATTGTAATAAATCATTGTTTAATTAATTTTTGGAAAATTTTTATTAAACATTTTATTAAAATTTTTATTTACATTTTTATTTATCTTTTTTTATTACTCTTTCTAGCTCTAGTCCCGGTACTTTACAAGATGTAACCATGGAAAATCCCTGTAAGTTGTTTTCATTTTCTTTATATTTTATTTATTTTTCGTCTCTTATTTTCTTATTTTTTGCGGCAAATTTTCAAAAGTGTTTAATAATAAAAGAAAAATAAAAATCTGTCAAAAAAACCTCATGCCTGAATGGCTAGACCACAAAACAAACAATAAAAATTATGTTGGCTCGAGTCCAAATCATATAAAATAAACAGAATTTTTTTTTAAATATTAAACGAATTTTTAATGATCGCTAAACAAAGTCAATAAAATGTATTTTAAAAGGAAATGTTTTTTAGTCTGAACACAGTTTTCTAGAGAAAAGTGTGAACTAAGCTTCTTTTAGAATAGTGTGAACACACACATAGAACTAGAACAGAACTAGAACAGAACTAGAACAGAACTAGAACAGAACTAGAACAGAACTACAACAGAACTAGAACAGAACTAGAACAGAACTAGAACAGAACTAGAACAGAACTAGAACATAACTAGAACAGAACTAGAACAGAACTAGAACAGAACTAGAACAGAACTAGAACAGAACTAGAACAGAACTAGAACAGAACTAGAACAGAACTAGAACAGAACTAGAACAGAACTAGAACAGAACTAGAACAGAACTAGAACAGAGCTAGAACTGAACTAGAACAGAACTAGAACAGAACTGCAACAGAACTACAACATAACTAGAACAAAACTAGAACAGAACTAGAACAGAACTAGAACTGAACTAGAACAGAATTAGAACAGAACAGAACTAGAACTGAATTAGAACAGAACTAGAACAGAACTAGAGCAGAACTAGAGCAGAACTAGAACAGAACTAGAACTGAACTAGAACAGAACTAGAACATAACTAGAACAGAACTACAACAGAACTAGAACAGAGCTAGAACAGAACTAGAACAGAACTAGAACAGAACTAGAACAGAACTACAACAGAACTAGAACAGAACTAGAACAGAACTAGAACAGAACTAGAACATAACTAGAACAGAACTAGAACAGAACTAGAACAGAACTAGAACAGAACTAGAACAGAACTAGAACAGAACTAGAACAGAACTAGAACAGAACTAGAACAGAACTAGAACAGAACTAGAACAGAGCTAGAACAGAACTAGAACAGAACTGCAACAGAACTACAACATAACTAGAACAGAACTAGAACAGAACTAGAACAGAACTAGAACAGAACTAGAACAGAACTAGAACTGAACTAGAACAGAATTAGAACAGAACAGAACTAGAACTGAATTAGAACAGAACTAGAACAGAACTAGAGCAGAACTAGAGCAGAACTAGAACAGAACTAGAACTGAACTAGAACAGAACTAGAACATAACTAGAACAGAACTACAACAGAACTAGAACAGAACTAGAACAGAACTAGAAAAGAACTAGAAAAGAACGAGAACTGAACTAGAACAGAACTAGAAGAGAACTAGAAAAGAACTAGAACAGAACTAAAACAGAACTAGAACAGAACTAGAACAGAACTAGAACAGAACTAGAACAGAACTAGAACAGAACTAGAACAGAACTAGAACAGAACTAGAACAGAACTAGAACAGAACTAGAAAAGAACTAGAAAAGAACTAGAACCGAACTAGAACAGAACTAGAACAGAACTAGAACAGCACTAGAACAGAACTAGAACAGAACTAGAGCAGAACTAGAGCAGAACTAGAACAGAACTAGAACTGAGTTATAACAGAACTAGAACAGAACTACAACAGAACTAGAACAGAACTACAACAGAACTACAACAGAACTAGAACAGAACTACAATAGAACTAGAACAGAACTAGAACAGAACTAGAACAGAACTAGAACAGAACTAGAACAGAACTAGAACAGAACTAGAACAGAACTAGAACAGAACTAGAACAGAACTAGAACAGAACTAGAACAGAACTGAACTAGAACAGAACTAGAACAGAACTAGAACAGAACTAGAACAGAACTAGAACACAACTAGAACAGAACTACAACAGAACTACAACAGAATTGGAACAGAACTAGAACAGAACTAGAACAGAACTAGAACAGAACTAGAACAGAACTAGAACAGAACTAGAACAGAACTAGAACAGAACTAGAACAGAACTAGAACAGAACTAGAACAGAACTAGAACAGAACTAGAGCAGAACTAGAGCAGAACTAGAACTGAACTAGAACTGAACTAGAACTGAACTAGAACTGAACTAGAACTGAACTAGAACAGAACTAGAACAGAACTAGAACAGAACTAGAACAGAACTAGAACAGAACAAGAACAGAACTAGAACAGAACTAGAACAGAACTAGAACAGAACTAGAACAGAACTAGAACAGAACTAGAACAGAACTAGAACAGAACTAGAACAGAACTAGAACAGAACTAGAACAGAACTAGAACTGAATTAGAACAGAACTAGAACAGAACTAGAGCAGAACTAGAACAGAACTAGAACAGAACTAAAACAGAACTAGAACAGAACTAGAACAGAACTGGAAAAGAATTAGAATAGAACTAGAACAGAAGTAGAACTGAATTAGAACAGAACTAGAACAGAACTAGAACAGAACTAGAACTAGAACAGAACTAGAACAGAACTAGAACAGAACTAGAACAGAACTAAAACAGAACTAGAACAGAACTAGAACAGAACTAGAATAGAACTAGAACAGAACTAGAACAGAACTAGAACAGAATTAGAACAGAATTAGAACAGAAAAGAACTAGAACAGAACTAGAACAGAACTGGAACAGAACTAGATAAGAACTAGAACAGAACTAGAAAAGAACTATAACAGAACTGGAACTGAACTAGAAAAGAACTAGATAAGAACTAGAAAAGAACTAGAACAGATCTAGAAAAGAACTAGAAAAGAACTAGAACAGAACTAGAATAGAACTAGAAAAGAACTAGAACAGAACAAGAACAGAACTAGAACAGAACTAGAACAGAACTAGAAAAGAATTAGAAAAAAACTAGAACAGAACTGGAACAGAACTAGAAAAGAACTAGAACAGAAATAGAACAGAACTAGAACAGAACTAGAACAAAACTAGAACAGAACTAGAACAGAACTAGAACAGAACTAGAACAAAACTAGAACAGAACTAGAACAGAACTAGAACAGAACTAGAACAGAACTAGAACAGTACTAGAACAGAACTAGAACAGAACTAGAACCGTACTAGAACAGAACTAGAACAGAACTAGAAAAGAATTAGAACAGAAATGAAACAGAACTATAACAGAATAGAACAGAAGTAGAACTGAACTAGAAGTGAACTAGGACTTGAACTAGAACTGAACTAGGACTGAATTGGAACTGAACTATAGCAGTATTCTATAGAAAAGTATGAAGACAGTTTTCTTTAGAAAAATGTGAACACAGTTTTCTTTAGAAAAATGTGAAGACAGTTTTCTTTAGAAAAATGTGAACACAGTTTTCTTTAGAAAAATGTGAAGACAGTTTTCTTTAGAAAAATGTGAAGACAGTTTTCTTTAGAAAAATGTGAACACAGTTTTCTTTAGAAAAATGTGAACACAGTTTTCTTTAGAAAAATGTGAACACAGTTTTCTTTAGAAAAATGTGAACACAGTTTTTTATACAAAACTTTTGTTTTAGCACAGTTTAGTGTGAACACTGTCTTTTCCCTTAAAGTATAAAAAAATCACTTTACAATAGTTTTCTAAACATTTTTTCTTCAAAGAAAACCTTGAAATTTATAGAAAAAATAAGAAAACATAAACGTCAAAGAAAAAAAATAATAATCTTCAAAAAAAGCAAACAAATATTTCAATATTAAATAAATACAAAATTTTGCAAATATTCTTCTACCTCCTCATCTCACAACTGAGCATTTCAACATAAGAATTTTGTGTTTAAAAATTTATTTAGCGGAAATAAAAATATTTGATAATAATTATTAATTGAATACCAGCAACAAAACAAAATAAATAGATAAAAAACTCAAGCGTTCGGCTAGTTGGACGCTGCTGAATTTCACAAATAAAATGCATAAAAATTCTATGAAATTAAGTGATAATAGTAAAACTGCAGCAGTTCATCATAATGAAGATAATAATGATGTTGATGAGAGCAAGGAAATGGATAAAATTGAATTGTTAAAAGAGAATGTAACACTAATGTATGGAGATTATAATTTTACCGAAAGTGGGGGTAGGTTTTTGTGAAAATCTGAAGAAGAATTTAGAGACCCTTTTGAAACCTTGACCTAAGGGACATTTTTATTTTCAAAGATTTTAATATTTTATTAAAATAATGTTAAATTTTTTATTTTTAGAACAAATTTCAAAATTTCCCTTTGTTTACAATATTTCCCTTGAAGGGAAATTTCTATTTTTAAAGAATTTAATGCAAATTTGATAGTAATTTATTAAGGGTCTCATTTTATAAAACGAAACGACAAACGTTCAAAAAAATTTGTATGGAAAAAATTCATATTTTCAAAAATTTCCCAGTATTCTTCATACAAATTTTTTACGTTAACGAAAGTTTCGTTTTATAAAATGAGGGGGTAAAACTTTGTTAACTTTTTCGATTTTTACAAGAATTTTCAAAATTTCCCTTGAAGGGAAATTTTTATTTTTCACAATTTTAATAAAAAAATTATTGTAATTCATTAAAATTTTAGTAAAATTTTGATTTCTAGAAAAAATTTAAAAATTTCCCTTTGCTAAGAAAATTTCCCTTGAAGGGAAATTTGTATTTTTAACAAATTCAGTAAAAATTATATTTTAATTCATTAAAATTATGGTCAATATTTGATTTCTGGAAAATTTTTCGAAATTTCCCTTAAAGGGAAATTTTTTTCTTTAAGATTTTAACGTAAATTTTATTGGAATTTTGTGAAATCTTGTTAACTTTTTGATTTTTACAAGAATTTTTAAAATTTCCCTTGGTTTTGAAAATTTCCCTTGAGGGGAAATTTTTATTTTCCACGATTTTAAAATAAATTTTATAGGTTTTTATTGAAATCTTGTTAAATATATGATTTCCAGAAAAATTTTCAAAATTTCCCTTTGTTTAGAAAATTTCCCTTCAAGGGAATTCACAAATTTCACAATTTTAAAATAATTTTTATAGCATTTTATTGAAATCGTGTTAAATATATAATTTCCAGAAAAAATTTTCAAAATTTCCCTTAAAGGGAAATTTTTATTTTTACAATTTTAATCAAAATTTTATTGTAATTCATTAAAATTATAATACAGATGTGATTTGCAGAACAATTTCCCCTTATTATGGGAGATTTTAGAAGACATTTTTAAAATTCTCTTTTTAACTAATAATTCTTCTCTTATATTTTCACAGATGGCGTCGGTTATCGTTCGCCTTGCGTTAGTCTACAACCCTATCAGGGTTCCACCTCGCCCGCCGCTCAGGGTCGTTCAGTACGGGAATTCGAAGAACAAATGGCCACTTTGCGTAAAGAAAATTTCAATTTGAAATTGCGTCTGTATTTCATCGAAGAAAGTATACCCGGTTATAAACAAGCCAATAATACCTCTTCGGAAGATACTCTCATGAAACAATTGATCGACACCAAAGTAGAAATGGAAATTCTACGCAAAGAAGTTCAGGAGAAACAAGATCTACTTAAAGAGGCCGCCCAGGGTATGATACAAATGGAGAAAATTCTTAAAGAATCTGAAACAAAATATCAACATGTAGTCGAGGAACTAAATCAGAAAATACAATATTTGGAAATGGAAAGAGAAATGGAAAAATCACGTATTAATATACCGGCCGGAGGAGCTCAAGAATTCAACGAGTTAATGGAAAGATCGGATTTAGCAGAAAATCTAAATGCTTTGCAAAAAGTGTGTATATTTTTAAAAGAAATTTTTCAAATATTAATTGTAAAAATTCTGCAAAAATAAATTTTATTAAAACAATTTCAAAATTTCTCTCTTTATTTAGTTACACGAATTGGAGGGTTTGCTTAAACAGTCCGATGACAAACTTTTGGATTTTCAACAACAAATCTATAGCCTAGAAGAACTTCTAGTGAAACGTGATGAAACCATTAAGGAATATGAGGAAAAAGTCAAAGAACTTGTCTTCCAAAATAATGAACTTTTAGAAACCATCGATACCAAGGATGCGGAAATTGCTAATAATGAGGTAAGTCTTTCTTTCTTAATAATTTGTATAAATGTTTTTGTAAATGATGCCTCATACCAACCAACCCATTTTATAACTTAAAAAAAATTGAACAAAACCACATAAAGCGTTTTTTAAGAGGTTTACGCTCTAAGAATGCAGATCTTAAAGCTGATAATGAAAAACTTATGGTCGCCTTTAAACATACTCAAGACAATTTCTCTAAAGAAATGTCGAACATACAAACGTATGAACGTCAAATGCGTGATCAACAAGACGTTTTATCGAGAATGCAAGTAAGTTGTTTTTTTTTTTTGTTTCTTTTTTTAAAGAGGGTCTCCTTTGTTTCGTTCGTCTGTAACTTTATGTAATATTATATCACAAACACTTGAGTTCTTTGTTATTAATGTTCGGAGTGGGTATAATGTTTAACTCGAAGGCAGTGTTGGAAAGGAGTGTATTTTTTTAAATAATAGTCCTGTCAATAGTCTGTCCTAACTTTTAGCTGGACTATACCGTAGTCTATATAGAAGAAACTATAGTCCTTACTATTGGCTCGTCTAGAGTCCAAAGTTCTGTTCTATTTCTGTTCTGTTCAGTTCTAGTTCAGTTCTAGTTCAGTTCTAGTTCAGTTCTAGTTCAATTCTAGTTCAATTCTAGTTCAGTTCTAGTTCACTTCTAGTTCAGTTCTAGTTCAGTTCTAGTTCAGTTCTAGTTCAGTTCTAGTTCAGTTCTAGTTCAGTTCTAGTTCAGTTCTAGTTCAGTTCTAGTTCAGTTCTAGTTCAGTTCTAGTTCAGTTCTAGTTCAGTTCTAGTTCAGTTCTAGTTCAGTTCTAGTTCAGTTCTAGTTCAGTTCTAGTTCAGTTCTAGTAGTTCAGTTCTAGTTCAGTTCTAGTTCAGTTCTAGTTCAGTTCTAGTTCAGTTCTAGTTCAGTTCTAGTTCAGTTCTAGTTCAGTTCTAGTTCAGTTCTAGTTCAGTTCTAGTTCAGTTCTAGTTCAGTTCTAGTTCAGTTCTAGTTCAGTTCTAGTTCAGTTCTAGTTCAGTTCTAGTTCAGTTCTAGTTCAGTTCTAGTTCAGTTCTAGTTCAGTTCTAGTTCAGTTCTAGTTCAGTTCTAGTTCAGTTCTAGTTCAGTTCTAGTTCAGTTCTATTTCAGTTCTAGTTCAGTTCTAGTTCTAGTTCAGTTCTAGTTCTAGTTCTAGTTCAGTTCTAGTTCAGTTCTAGTTCAGTTCTAGTTCAGTTCTAGTTCAGTTCTAGTTCAGTTCTAGTTCAGTTCTAGTTCAGTTCTAGTTCAGTTCTAGTTCAGTTCTAGTTCAGTTCTAGTTCAGTTCTAGTTCAGTTCTAGTTCATTCTAGTTCAGTTCTAGTTCAGTTCTAGTTCAGTTCTAGTTCAGTTCTAGTTCAGTTCTAGTTCAGTTCTAGTTCAGTTCTAGTTCAGTTCTAGTTCAGTTCTAGTTCAGTTCTAGTTCAGTTCTAGTTCAGTTCTAGTTCAGTTCTAGTTCAGTTCTAGTTCAGTTCTAGTTCAGTTCTAGTTCAGTTCTAGTTCAGTTCTAGTTCAGTTCTAGTTCAGTTCTAGTTCAGTTCTAGTTCAGTTCTAGTTCAGTTCTAGTTCAGTTCTAGTTCAGTTCTAGTTCAGTTCTAGTTCAGTTCTAGTTCAGTTCTAGTTGAGTTCTAGTTCAGTTCTAGTTCAGTTCTAGTTCAGTTCTAGTTCAGTTCTAGTTCAGTTCTAGTTCAGTTCTAGTTCAGTTCTAGTTCAGTTCTAGTTCAGTTCTAGTTCAGTTCTAGTTCAGTTCTAGTTCAGTTCTAGTTCAGTTCTAGTTCAGTTCTAGTTCAGTTTCAGTTCTAGTTCAGTCTAGTTCAGTTCTAGTTCAGTTCTAGTTCAGTTCTAGTTCAGTTCTAGTTCAGTTCTAGTTCAGTTCTAGTTCAGTTCTAGTTCAGTTCTAGTTCAGTTCTGGTTCAGTTCTAGGTTAGTTCTAGTTCAGTTCTAGTTCTAGTTCAGTTCTAGTTCAGTTCTAGTTCAGTTCTAGTTCAGTTCTAGTTCAGTTCTAGTTCAGTTCTAGTTCAGTTCTAGTTCAGTTCTAGTTCAGTTCTAGTTCAGTTCTAGTTCAGTTCTAGTTCAGTTCTAGTTCAGTTCTAGTTCAGTTCTAGTTTAGTTCTAGTTCAGTTCTAGTTCAGTTCTAGTTCTGTTCTAGTTTTGTTCTAGTTCACTTCTAGTTCAGAACTTTTTTGTATCATCCATTTGTACAATACATTCCTTTCCATTTCTGCTGCTTTGTCTTTATCATCCATAAGGTTTTGGTTGCACAAGCTTTTTGCAAATAATTTCATCATATTCATATGCTTTCAAAGTTCATTATGCATTCATTAAATAGAATTAAAAAATATAAATAAATGTTTTAATTAAAAAAAAAATGATTTCATAAAAACTGTTACAATTTAAAGCCACTTTAATGAAATGAAAATAAAAACACATACAAACTTTATCCGCTTATTTCAATAACATTCCCCTACTCCAACCCCTTTTTTTAGTCCACAATCTCTTTGAAAACCGAAAATACAGCCCGCCTGCTGGAACGTATACAGGATTATGAAAAATTGGTGAACAAAATGAATATAGAACGTAATATTGTTAAAAGAGAAAATCGTTTCTTTAGAACCATAATCAGTAAATTGCAAGCAGCGAACAACAACAGCAGCAGTAATAATGCGAATAATAATGAATGTTATACTTATGAAACTCAAGAAATTTATCGAAAATATGAGAGTAATAAAAGAAACAAAAAAGATTATACGAATCAACAAACTTTGCCATTATCGAAAAAAGAGGATAAATTTGCTAAGAGATCCGAGGGAGCAGCTTTTAAATTAAAACAAAAATTATGTGTTAATATTTGTAATAATGATAAGTGTCAATTTCATAGCAAGAAATCTAACTCCTCCTCGGAATGTTTTAAGTGTTCGCCGCCTTCTTTATATGAAGAAGTAACGCCTCATTGTTCTCATGATTTAACAGATTTTAATTGTTTAAGAGATTTTAATTTGAATACAACTTCTGGTCAAGGTGTGGGTGATTATTGGCACAATTATTGTTGGGATGTAAATCATCAGTATGAACCGGTTATACCCATACGTTATACCATTAGTGATAGTAGTTTATTTGGTAATATTGATAATGCAGTTGGCATAAGTTTAACAAAATCCAATAGTAGTTGCACTTCACTAACCTTATCGACTCCCAGATTTTCCTCAAGTCTTTTGGGTTGCTGCAATACGAATGATATGGAAGAAGTATTTTGTTTAAAGGTGATTCGTTTCGAAATTTTATCTTAAAGTTTAAATAAACATCCTTTTCTATTTTCCCTCAAGGATACTGATATTAAGCAGCAGCAGAGCAAACAAAATATTAGCAAATATTCAGCATTAGATGGCATACGTTATGTGTATTCAAAATTTGGAAAATTTCCTTAATTCTATTACAAGAGATTTGCAAAATTACATTTGAACTAAGATAGAATTCAAAGAAGTTGGTTAAATAATTAAACGATTAAAAATAGGACCTTTTGTTAACGATTGTTTAAATCATTTTATATTTTGTTGTATGTTTTCAAAAGCTTTATATATTTTCTATTGTTATCTGTATTAATCATCACATTTCTCCAATATATAAATATTTTATCTGTAAAATAACATTTATGTTTCAACTGGTAAGAAATCATCTAATAATTTTCATTTGTCAATAAAATTCACAATAAATTCACTACGGCTTTTGGCCATTTCATGTCGCATTATAAAATGGGTTTGGTAAAAGGTGAAGCTTCATTTCATTTGTTCAATTTTAATAAAACCCATAAAATCCCTAAAATTTTCCTTCTCCCCCTGTTAAGGCTCAACAACTACGCGAAGAATTACAAAAACATAAAATGGATGCTGCCGATAAAAGTTGCATGATCCAAGATCTTGAGGAGAAACTTAAAAATCGTGATCAACTTTACGAAAAGGCACGTTTAACCATACAGAAATTAATGCTGAGCATTAAAAATCAACAAGTGGAAAATAGTCGCTTGAAGAACAGTACACAGGCTTCGAATGTCTCAAATAATGAAAAGGAGGTAAGTGATAAAAACAACTTTTTCAAGAAATTGTTGTTCTAGTTCAAGTTCTAGTTTAGTTCTAGTTCAGTTCTAGTTCAGTTCTTGTTCAGTTCTAGTTCAGTTCTAGTTCAGTTCTAGTTCAGTTCTAGTTCAGTTCTAGTTCAGTTCTAGTTCAGTTCTAGTTCAGTTCTAGTTCAGTTCTAGTTCAGTTCTAGTTCGGTTCTAGTTCAGTTCTAGTTCGGTTCTAGTTCAGTTCTAGTTCAGTTCTAGTTCAGTTCTAGTCAGTTCTAGTTCAGTTCTAGTTCAGTTCTAGTTCAGTTCTAGTTCAGTTCTAGTTCAGTTCTAGTTCAGTTCTAGTTCAGTTCTAGTTCAGTTCTAGTTCAGTTCTAGTTCAGTTCTAGTTCAGTTCTAGTTCAGTTCTAGTTCAGTTCTAGTTCAGTTCTAGTTCAGTTCTAGTTCAGTTCTAGTTCAGTTCTAGTTCAGTTCTAGTTCAGTTCTAGTTCAGTTCTAGTTCAGTTCTAGTTCAGTTCTAGTTCAGTTCTAGTTCAGTTCTAGTTCAGTTCTAGTTCAGTTCTAGTTCAGTTCTAGTTCAGTTCTAGTTCAGTTCTAGTTCAGTTCTAGTTCAGTTCTAGTTCAGTTCTAGTTCAGTTCTAGTTCAGTTCTAGTTCAGTTCTAGTTCAGTTCTAGTTCAGTTCTAGTTCAGTTCTAGTTCAGTTCTAGTTCAGTTCTAGTTCAGTTCTAGTTCAGTTCTAGTTCAGTTCTAGTTCAGTTCTAGTTCAGTTCTAGTTCAGTTCTAGTTCTAGTTCAGTTCTAGTCAGTTCTAGTCCAGTTCTAGTTCAGTTATAGTTCAGTTCTAATTCTAGTCCTAGTTCAGTTCTAGTTCAGTTCTAGTTCAGTTCTAGTTCAGTTCTAGTTCAGTTCTAGTTCAGTTCTGTTCAGTTCTATTTCAGTTCTAGTTCAGTTCTATTTCAGTTCTAGTTCAGTTATAGTTCAGTTCTAATTCTAGTCCTAGTTCAGTTCTAATTCTAGTCCTAGTTCAGTTCTAATTCTAGTCCTAGTTCAGTTCTAGTTCATTCAGTTCTAGTTCAGTTCTAGATCATTTCTAGTTCATTTCTAGGTCAGTTCAAGTTCAGTTCTAGTTCAGTTCTAGTTCAGCTCTAGATCAGTTCTAGTTCAGTTCTAGTTTAGTTCTAGTTCAGTTCTAGTTTAGTTCTAGTTCAGTTCTAGTTCAGTTCTAGTTCAGTTCTAGTTCAGTTCTAGTTCAGTTCTAGTTCAGTTCTAGTTCAGTTCTAGTTCAGTTCTAGTTCAATTCTAGTTCAGTTCTAGTTCAGTTCTAGTTCAGTTCTAGTTCAGTTCTAGTTCAGTTCTAGTTCAGTTCTAGTTCAGTTCTAGTTCACTTCTAGTTCAGTTCTAGTTCAGTTCTAGTTCAGTTCTAGTTCAGTTCTAGTTCAGTTCTAATTCTAGTCCTAGTTCAGTTCTAATTCTAGTCCTAGTTCAGTTCTAGTTCAGTTCTAGTTCAGTTCTAGATCATTTCTAGTTCATTTCTAGGTCAGTTCGAGTTCAGTTTCTAGTTCAGTTCTAGTTCAGCTCTAGATCAGTTCTAGTTCAGTTCTAGTTCAGTTCTAGTTCTAGTTCAGTTCTAGTTCAGTTCTAGTTCAGTTCTAGTTCAGTTCTAGTTCAGTTCTAGTTCAGTTCTAGTTCAGTTCTAGTTCAGTTCTAGTTCAGTTCTAGTTCAGTTCTAGTTCAGTTCTAGTTCAGTTCTAGTTCAGTTCTAGTTCAGTTCTAGTTCAGTTCTAGTTCAGTTCTAGTTCAGTTCTAGTTCAGTTCTAGTTCAGTTCTATTTCAGTTCTAGTTCAGTTCTAGTTCAGTACTAGTTCAGTTCTAGTTCAGTTCTAGTTCAGTTCTAGTTCAGTTCTAGTTCAGTTCTAGTTCAGTTCTATTTCAGTTCTAGTTCAGTTCTATTTCAGTTCTAGTTCAGTTATAGTTCAGTTCTAATTCTAGTCCTAGTTCAGTTCTAATTCTAGTCCTAGTTCAGTTTCTAATTCTAGTCCTAGTTCAGTTCTAGTTCATTCAGTTCTAGTTCAGTTCTAGATCATTTCTAGTTCATTTCTAGGTCAGTTCAAGTTCAGTTCTAGTTCAGTTCTAGTTCAGCTCTAGATCAGTTCTAGTTCAGTTCTAGTTTAGTTCTAGTTCAGTTCTAGTTTAGTTCTAGTTCAGTTCTAGTTCAGTTCTAGTTCAGTTCTAGTTCAGTTCTAGTTCAGTTCTAGTTCAGTTCTAGTTCAGTTCTAGTTCAGTTCTAGTTCAATTCTAGTTCAGTTCTAGTTCAGTTCTAGTTCAGTTCTAGTTCAGTTCTAGTTCAGTTCTAGTTCAGTTCTAGTTCAGTTCTAGTTCAGTTCTAGTTCAGTTCTAGTTCAGTTCTAGTTCAGTTCTAATTCTAGTCCTAGTTCAGTTCTAATTCTAGTCCTAGTTCAGTTCTAGTTCAGTTCTAGATCATTTCTAGTTCATTTCTAGGTCAGTTCGAGTTCAGTTCTAGTTCAGTTCTAGTTCAGCTCTAGATCAGTTCTAGTTCAGTTCTAGTTCAGTTCTAGTTCTAGTTCAGTTCTAGTTCAGTTCTAGTTCAGTTCTAGTTCAGTTCTAGTTCAGTTCTAGTTCAGTTCTAGTTCAGTTCTAGTTCAGTTCTAGTTCAGTTCTAGTTCAGTTCTAGTTCAGTTCTAGTTCAGTTCTAGTTCAGTTCTAGTTCAGTTCTAGTTCAGTTCTAGTTCAGTTCTATTTCAGTTCTAGTTCAGTTCTAGTTCAGTTCAGTTCTAGTTCAGTTCTAGTTCAGTTCTAGTTCAGTTCTAGTTCAGTTCTAGTTCAGTTCTAGTTCAGTTCTAGTTCAGTTCTAGTTCAGTTCTAGTTCAGTTCTAGTTCAGTTCTAGTTCAGTTCTAGTTCAGTTCTAGTTCAGTTCTAGTTCAGTTCTAGTTCAGTTCTATTTCAGTTCTAGTTCAGTTATAGTTCAGTTCTAGTTCAATTCCAGTTCAGTTCTAGTTCAGTTCAATTTCAGTTCTCAATTCTAGTTTTACTCAAACTAATCCTCTCTTTAAACCTATTTTTATAGCATCACACTGCCGTTGGTATCAGTGGCTTGGAGTGTACCGGCTTTTGTCGTTCCTTTAGCGATACAGAGGCTTTAAATGATTTGACATCATTACAAAAACAAAAATACGACCATATAATCGAACAGCAAGAGGTCACCATTAAAAATCTCAAAGTTGAAGTGAAAAAGAAAACTGCCGATTTGCAGGTAAGGTCCAAAAAAGGTCCTTTATATTCCCTAAACACCTATTAAATCTTTATCTTTTATCACTCCAGAATCTTGTTAACAAAGAACTTTGGGAGAAAAATCGTGAAATTGAGCGTCTCAATAAAATCCTTAACAAAACCACCACTTCCCCTATGTCGCCTCAGACGCACAATGTTAGTCAAGGAGAGGTGAATGGTGAGTTACAACAGTCTTTCTCTGATGTGGAATATACCAAGGCATTACAACGCAATAAGCTATTGCAGCGTAAAGTGGATATTTTAATACAACGTTTGGGTACAGAAAGACAAAATGATGCTTTAATAGCTCAACTGCAAACTGAACTGAAGCAGGCCCGTTTGGATGCAGAGACTGCGGAGAAATGGCGTCGTCAATGTGCCGATTTGTGTCAAACTCTATCTACCCGCCTGGAAGAATTGGCTGGTTTCCTTAATTCTTTACTCAAACACAAAGATGTTTTGGGTGTTTTGGCGGTAGAGAAACGCAAGGCTATGCGTAGGGCAGTGGATCGTAGTTTGGACTTGTCCAAGAGTCTTAATATGACTTTATCGGTTTCGGGTCTTTCTATGATTGACCAAAGTTTGGCAGAATTGCATAATTTGTCGGATATTCTGGGTGACTTAGATATAGATTTGGAAAATAAAACTTTCAATTCACACGAAGACATACACGGCCAGTCTATCGAAATACTTAAGGCTGAAAATAAGGCTCTTAAAAAGGAGTTGGATAAACGCCGTACAGCAGATTCAAAGAAGGAGCGACGTTCTTTGCCTTTGCCCATGATGGCGGAAAATAGGGAAAGTGAATCCGAAGCCTGGTCCGAGCCTGATCGTAAGGTGTCCTTGGCTCGCATAGGATTAGAAGATCATTCAGCCTCCTTGATGGCCAAAGAGCAGCCTTTGGCGGCACAACACAATGAAACCGATAGTGACTACAGTGAATCGAATAGTCGCTCATTTAAGGCCCGCAGCCAAGAACGCATTGCCCAATTAGAGCAACAGCTTCAGCAGAGAGATCAACGTATTCTCGAAATCCAATGCCAGCTGGTGGAAGCTGATAATCGTTTGAAAAAGGAAAATTTGAAAGTATTAGAAGCCAATCAAGAATTGGAGCAACTAAAGCAACGCAATGAAGAACTGCATCATGATCTAATAGCCATAGGTTCCCAAGAACCCAGTAATATAAACAATGAATCCTTGCTGTTAAGGCAAATCGATGAAAAGTCACGTTCTCTAGAAAAACTACAAGAAGAACGTGAACGCCTTACGGTAGAGTCAAGATTAGCAGAAATACAAATCAATTCCCTAAAGGCCGATATGGAAATTGTCAAACAAACCTATGAAGAAGCTCTGCAGCAAGCAGCCGAAAGAGAGCAGCAACAACTGAACGCCCTCAAACAAGAAATGCAACAACAATTGCAACAAACTCTAATGGAGAAACAACAAGAATATGAAGAATGTCTCGAAAGAGATTACATAGCAAAACAACTCTACGAAGAGTGTTCACAACAACTAAATGAATTACAAAAACAATACATAGAAGCTCAAAGAACCATCGATTGTTTGCAGGAAAATGAGCAGGAACTTAAACAAACCCTGGTAGAATCTGAACTAACCTCACGTAATCTACAAAAACAAATCGATGAAAGCACCTTAAGAGCCTCCAAGGCCGCTATGGAACGTGTAAAGGCTCTAAATGATAAACTGCAATTGGAAAAACGTGTCGAAGAATTAACCCTGGAAATAAACCAACATGAAGAACAACGTTTACAAATGCAACAACAAATTGATCATTTGGAACAAGAACAGCAATCGCTACTCGAACGTTTGGCCGTCTTGCAAACTAAACAACGTTTGGTTAAGCCAGACGATCAAAATTGCCAATCCGGTTACACTTCCGAAGAAGTACCCCTACCGCATTCCTCTGCTGCTAATGCACAAAGCCTCGTGGCTCAACAGCGCTTGGGTGAGCAACGTATACAGAATTCATCACCCGATTTGGGTATAGAAAGTGATGCGGGACGTGTTAGTAGTGTGGAACTGAATAGTGTACAACGTCCTCAATTGAAGACCGTGGAAATGAGTCCGTCCTCGAAACAACTTAGTAGTACTGAATCGGATGAGAAAGAAGGTAAGTGTGGGGAGAAAAACAAATTGAATTAAAACTAGACTATAGACCATGTTATAGAATAGGCTAAAGACTATACTATAGACTAGATTATAGACCAGATTATAGACTAGATTATAGACTAGACTATAGACTAGACTATAAACTAGACTATAGACTAGACTATAGACTAGACTATAGACTAGACTATAGACTAGACTATAGACTAGACTATAGACTAGACCTATGACTAGACTAGACTATAGACTAGCTATAGACTAGACTATAGACTAGACTATAGACTAGACTATAGACTAGACTATAGACTAGACTATAGACTAGACTATAGACTAGACTATACACTAGACTATAGACTAGACTATAGACTAGACTAGACTATAGACTAGACTATAGACTAGACTAGACTAGACTATAGACTAGACTAGACTATAGACTATAGACTAGACTATAGACTAGACTATAGACTAGACTATAGACTAGACTATAGACTAGACTATAGACTAGACTATAGACTAGACTATAGACTAGACTATAGACTAGACTATAGACTAGACTATAGACTAGACTATAGACTAGACTATAGACTAGACTATAGACTAGACTATAGACTAGACTATAGACTAGACTATAGACTAGACTATAGACTAGACTATAGACTAGACTATAGACTAGACTATAGACTAGACTATAGACTAGACTATGACTAGACTATAGACTACTATAGACTATATAGACTAGACTATAGACTAGACTATAGACTAGACTATACTAGACTATAGACTAGACTATAGACTAGACTATAGACTAGACTATAGACTAGACTATAGAGTAGACTATAGACTAGACTATAGACTAGACTATAGACTAGACTATAGACTAGACTATAGACTAGACTATAGACTAGACTATAGACTAGACTATAGACTAGACTATAGACTAGACTATAGACTAGACTATACTAGACTATAGACTAGACTATAGACTAGACTATAGACTAGACTATAGACTAGACTATAGACTAGACTATAGACTAGACTATAGACTAGACTATAGACTGGACTATAGACTAGAATATAGACTAGACTATATACTAGACTATAGACTAGACTATAGACTAGACTATAGACTAGACTATAGACTAGACTATAGACTAGACTATAGACTAGACTATAGACTAGACTATAGAGTATAGACTATAGAGTAGACTATAGACTAGACTATAGACTAGACTAGACTATAGACTAGACTAGACTATAGACTAGACTATAGACTAGACTATAGACTAGACTAGACTATAGACTAGACTAGAGACTAGACTATAGACTAGACTATAGACTAGACTATAGACTAGACTATAGACTAGACATATACTAGACTATAGACTAGACTATAGACTAGACTATAGACTAGACTATAGACTAGACTATAGACTAGACTATGACTAGACTATAGACTAGACTATAGACTAGACTATAGACTAGACTATAGACTAGACTTAGACTAGACTATAGACTAGACTATAGACTAGACTATAGACTAGACTATAGACTAGACTATAGACTAGACTATAGACTAGACTATAGACTAGACTATAGACTAGACTATAGACTAGACTATAGACTAGACTATAGACTAGACTATAGACTAGACTATAGACTAGACTATAGACTAGACTATAGACTAGACTATAGACTAGACTATGACTAGACTATAGACTAGACTATAGACTAGACTATAGACTAGACTATAGACTAGACTATAGACTAGACTATAGACTAGACTATAGACTAGACTATAGACTAGACTATAGACTAGACTATAGACTAGACTAGACTATAGACTAGACTATAGACTAGACTATAGACTAGACTATAGACTAGACTATAGACTAGACTAATAGACTAGACTATAGACTAGACTATAGACTAGAACTATAGACTAGACTATAGACTAGACTATAGACTAGACTATAGACTAGACTATAGACTAGACTATAGACTAGACTATAGACTAGACTATAGACCTATAGACTAGACTATAGACTAGACTATAGACTAGACTATAGACTAGACTATAGACTAGACTATAGACTAGACTATAGACTAGACTATAGACTAGACTATAGACCTAGACTATAGACTAGACTACTAGACTAGACTGACTAGACTAGACTATACTAGACTATAACTAGACTATAGACTAGACTATAGACTAGACTATAGACTAGACTATAGACTAGACTATAGACTAGACTATAGACTAGACTATAGACTAGACTATAGACTAGACTATAGACTGACTATAGACTAGACTATAGACTAGACTATAGAGTAGACTATAGACTAGACTATTGACTATGACTCTGGTCTGGTCTATGATCTAGTCTGTAGTTATGTTTATAGTCTAGTCTATAGTCTTGGGTATAGTCTAGTCTATAGTCTTGTCTATAGTCTAGTCTATAGTCTAGTCTATAGTCTAGTCTATAGTCTAGTCTATGGTCTAGTCTATAATCTAGTCTATGGTCTAGTCTATAATCTAGTCTATAGTCTAGTCTATAGTCTAGTCTATAATCTAGTCTATAATATAGTCTAGTCTATAGTCTAGTCTATAGTCTAGTCTATAGTCTAGTCTATAGTCTAGTCTATTGTCTAGTCTATTGTCTAGTCTATAGCCTAGTCTATAGTCTAGTCTATAGTCCTAATCTATAGTCTTTATACTGCCTTATTTTCTCTGTTAAATTTTTCATCAAATTTCTTCTTACAGTCTTTTGTTTAAAATATATTTCTAAATATTTGTTTCCTTTCAGGTCTCCATGACAGCAGTACCGAAAACATTAAACCTTCCAATAATAACACAGATGCCAACAATGGACAACTGACAACACAGCAGCTGGCCAAGAAACACGATTGCCTAAAGGTAGAACAAGAAAACGCTGAATTGCGTCGTAAATTATTACGCACCAAACGTGCCTTTGAAGACACATATGAAAAACTACGCAATGCTAATCAACGCAAGGCACAAATTGAAAAAGACATTAAAAATCAAATACTCAAAACACACAATGTCCTTAAGAACGTACGTTCCAATATGGAAAATGAATTGTAACGTACGTTTAATCATTATTGTCATCATTGCCAACATCCACTGTTACCACTTTAATATTTTTAACACATATTCAAAAATAGATTTCATTTCATAACATATCTATATACACACTGGAGTTTTTGCACCTGTTACACTTAAAGACACTTTTGTTTAACAAAGTTTTTGTTTTTAATTTTTGAAGGGAAATTTTTTTAATTTCCATTTATGAGTTTTCTTGAGCATTTTTTTTTTTAATTTTGTTTGATTGAAAATAATTTTAATTTAGTTTATAAGTATATACGATTTAAGTCTGAATTTAGAAAACGAAACGCGATCTGAAGGTGCTAAAGGAATTAACCATAGAAGACCCCCCCCCCCCCCCCTTTTATAAAGCATCATTTTAACAAAAAATACTAAAACCTGGAATAATTGTTTTACTGATTGAAAAAGAAGACTTTTTGTCAAGTCTGACCTTTAACATAAAACTCTTGAACTAAAAAGCCATATTAATTTTAACTTTACTAATTATAACTTTATAAACTTTGTATTCCCCTCTTAACTACTTAATTTATTAATTTAATAAACTATTAAATAATTGTGTATTGTCAAATTATTTCTCATTTCAATGTATTGTTTCTTACAAAATAATATTAATATTTTAACCTTTTAACCTTAATGCTACAACTAAACCATTCATATTGAATGCAAATATAAATCTAATTTTATGAAAAACACTTTTTCTAAATAAATAAATAAATTATAATTTTTTCCTAATTTAATTTTTTTACTCAAAATGTTTATTTTTTTAATTTATTCTTTTTTTATTTTGCCTGCTGCAATTTTATTAATTTTCTATAGCCTGCCTCCTGCTTTCAAGAAGATATTGAAGTTATGCTGTAAAAAAGATTTCAAAAATTTTTGGCTTTTTATCTCAAAATTTTGTTTGCAAACCTTCTACAACTTTTCTTCTCTACAGCTGTGTTCTTTTTAATTTTAATTTCTTTTAAACGATTTATTTAAAATTTAACGATTTAACGAACGAACTTTTTAATTTTAACTCTAAATTATCCCTAAAAATAAGAAAAACTTGTATTTATGTAAAATTTGTAAAATATTAAACTAACCTCGAAGAACAAAACTGAAAATTAAAAAAATTAACCAACCACCTCTTTGTACAGTTAGTAAGTTTAGTTTTTAGTTGAATATTAACAAAAGAACAAAAAATAAAAAAACTTTTATTATTAGTTAAGAAAATTTTGTTGTTAAGCTTAAATACGATTTAAATTATTTTATATACGAAAAAAAATAAAACAAACACAAAACCACAAAAATTAAAATGTATTGAAAAACCAAACGTCTAATAAAACGAAAACATGTTATTTAAAAGTAAACAAATTTGTTTTAATTCAAATAATTTTCAAGAAATAGACAGTAATCCGGACTAGACCATAACTAGACTATAGCCTAAACTATAGAAAAGACTCCAGACTAGACTATAAACTGGACTGTAGAATAGACAATAGACTAGACTATAATCTTCTAGTTCTGTTCTAGTTCAGTCTAGTATAGTTCTAGTTCAGTCCCAGTTCAGTTCTAGTTCCGTTCCAGTTTAATTTTAGTTGAGTTCTAGTTCAATTCTAGTTCAGTTCTAGTTCAGTTCTAATTAAGTTCTAGTTCAGTTCTAATTCAGTTCTAGTTCAGTTCTAGTTAGGTTCTATGTAGTTCAGTTCAAGTTCAGTTCTACGTTAGTTCTAGTTCAGTTCTAGTTTAGTTCTAGTTTAGTTCCAGTTCAGTTCTAGTTCAGTTTAGTTCTAGTTCAGTTCTAGTTCAATTCTAGTTCAGTTCTATTTCAGTTCTAGTTCCGTTCTAGTTCAGTTCTAGTTCTGTTCTAATTCTGTTCTAGTTCTGTTCTAGTTCTGTTCTAGTTCTGTTCTAGTTCTGTTCTAGTTCTGTTCTAGTTCTGTTCTAGTTCTGTTCTAGTTCTGTTCTAGTTCTGTTCTAGTTCTGTTTTAGTTCTGTTCTAGTTCTGTTTTAGTTCTGTTCTAGTTCTGTTCTAGTGCAGTTCTAGTTCAGTTCTAGTTCAGTTCTAGTTCAGCTCTAGTTCAGTTCTAGTTCAGTTCTAGTTCAGTTCTAGTTCAATTCTAGTTCAGTTCTAGTTCAGTTCTAGTTCAGTTCTAGTTCAGTTCTAGTTCAGTTCTAGTTCAGTTCTAGTTCAGTTCTAGTTCAGTTCTAGTTCAGTTCTAGTTCAGTTCTAGTTCAGTTCTAGTTCAGTTCTAGTTCAGTTCTAGTTCAGTTCTAGTTCAGTTCTAGTTCAGTTCTAGTTCAGTTCTAGTTCAGTTCTAGTTAGTTCTAGTTCAGTTCTAGTTCAGTTCTAGTTCAGTCTAGTTCAGTTAGTTCAGTTGTAGTTCAGTGTAGTTCAGTTCTAGTTCAGTTCTAGTTCAGTTCTAGTTCAGTTCTAGTTCAGTTCTAGTTCAGTTCTAGTTCTGTTCTAGTTCTGTTCTAGTTCTATTCAAGTTCTGTTCTAGTTCTGTTCTAGTTCTTTTCAAGTTCTGTTCTAATTCTGTTCTTGTTCTCTTCTAGTTCTGTTCTAGTTCTTTTCTAGTTCTTTTCTAGTTCTGTTCTAGTTCGGTTCTGTTCTAGTTCAGTTTTAGTTCAGTTCTAGTTCTGTTCCAGTTCAGTTCTAGTTCAGTTCTAGTTCAGTTCTAGTTCAGTTCTAGTTCAGTTCTAGTTCAGTTCTAGTTCAGTTCTAGTTCAGTTCTAGTTCAGTTCTAGTTTAGTTCTGTTCTAGTTTAGTTTTAGTTCAGTTCTAGTTCAGTTCTTGTTCAGTGCTAGTTCACTTCTAGTTTAGTTCTGTTCTAGTTAAGTTCTAGTTGAGTTTTAGTTCAGTTCTTCTTCAGTTCTAGTTCAGTTCTTATTCAGTTCTAATTTAGTTTTAGTTCAATTCTATTGAGTTCATATTCAGCTCTATTTTAGTTCAGTTCTAATTTATAGTTGAGTAACTCAACTTGAGTTCATTTCCAGTTCAGTCCTACTACTGTTCTTTTTCAGTTATAGTTCATTTCTAGTTAAGTTCTAGTTCAGTTTAGTCTAATCTAAAGTCTATAACGCTGTTCTGAGATAACCTATGCTCGTAAATAATTCATTACAGATGTTTAGTTGATACTTTTTTAAAATTGATTGTTTTATTGTTTATTATTATTTTAATTTTTATTTCAAAATTAAGATTTTTTTGTTTGCTTTATTTAAAAGTAGAGATCATTATTTTAATAATTTTTTGTTTAATTATTTAATTTTTTTTGGCATAATTTAGTTTTAATTTAAGTGTTTAAAACTATCAAAATTATTAAACATACACATAAGCAGTAATAATACGATAAATTTTAGTTTATAATTAAGAATATTTTGGGTTAAAATTTATATTTTTTTATGGGTTTCAAAAGCATGATAATTTGTTATTTTTTTGTTGTGGTTTAAAATTTTATATTTGTTTGTGTTTTTTTGTTTGTTTAAAAGCTAAAATGCTAAAATTAGGTACCATCTACAATATGTTTCATTATTTTTAATTTAATATGATTTGATGATGATGATGAGTTTTACTTGATTTGATAATGCTTGTTGTTATTTGTTTTTTTTTTTCTTTTTTGGTGTATAATATTTAATTGTAAATATATTTTATTTATTTATGTTTTTTAAGAGAATTGCACTTTTGTTTTTTTTTAATATTTTGTTTTGTTAATAAGTTAAATTTTAGTTTAAAACGTTAGTTTAAGAAAGCTAAAGACTTTTTTAAAAAAGCATAACAACTACAAATTAATAATTTTACTTTTTCATTAAGTTTTACTATAAATTTAAGAGGCTGTGCGTTAGTAATGTTTATAAAATATTAACTAAGAGTAAATGTTAAGCTAAAAAGTTGTTGTTTTTATTTTTGCAATTAATTTGTGTTTGTTGGGGGCTTTAGGTGGTGTCAATCTTATTTAATAGAATAATTTAATTAATAATTACTATTATGGTTTAAGTTATAGAAGAAAACTGAAATAAAAATTGTATTTATTTCTAAGTATTTAGTAGATTTTTTTAGTGTTAACAAGTTGTTAAAGAAAACCAAGAAATAGAATTGTAAAATTAAAAAGAAACTATCGACTACTATAGAATTGATTGATGCCTAAAACATGTTTTTCTTCATGGTATTTTTGCAGGATATGTGTTATCACCGAGGTGGTATCATTATCACCACCCCAAACACGTATAGTATGCTCATTTTCCAATATTGCTAAAAAGGCTTTATTTATTTGAGCCAAAAAGAAAGTTATGTTGCTATATAATAATTTATTAAAAAAATAAAAGTGTTTAAACTTACCTAATAATATCTTGGGATTGCTTAGGCTCAATTGTACTTGTGGTAATTCAAGTATTGTTTTTAATATGGGAGAATCTTGGGCTAAACCTTCACGTAATTCAACTAAACTACCGGTACGATTACCACACAACCATTCACAAGCAGCTGCCTTATTATTGCAAGTCTTTTTTAAAGCTTCTATAACTTCTGTTTCAGGAAAGCCCATTTCGACAAGATTTTGTATGGTCTCCGGTGTGGGCGGTATATCACGATGACTATAAATACGCACTATTTCTAATAAAGCTGCTATATTATCAATAGGACCCTGTTAAAAAAACACAAATAATCATGAATACTTTTAAAGAATTTTTAAAAATTAACACACAACTTACATCATTTGACATTATACCCGATGGTGAGGCTATAGAATTAGTTCTTGGCAAACCCATGACCGTTTCTTCTATGCCCATCTCTTCTGATTGCCGTAAAATAAGCCATTCCAAAGCATTTGAATAGATATTGCTGTAATCAAACCAAATTTTGCAATAATTTTAAATCTTGTTTCCTTTTAGTTTCTTGTTTAACACTTACTTGTGTATTTTTAGAGCATATTCAGCCTTTTCTTTTTTAAAACCCATGTCCACAAGGCACTGTAGAGTATCATTTTGATAGTTACGTTTATTGATAAGTTTTTGCTTGAGCATGGCTATCAAACGATTAGCATAGGGGCCGGAACCAATAATAACGGATGAGGCTTGTGCCAAGGAAATTAAAACTTTACGGACATCAAATTGCAACTGGAATTGGAAGAGAAATTTAAGAAAACTTTTTGGTACAAAAATCAGAATTTCATCAAGAACTGTCTATAGTCAAGACTAAGTATTGCCAAGACTATATATAGTCAATACTATCAGTTCTAGTTCAGATCTAGTTGAGTTCTAGTTCAGTTCTAATTCAGTTCTAGTTCAGTTCTAGTTCAGTTCTAGTTCAGTTCTAGTTTAGTTCTAGTTCAGTTCTAGTTCAGTTCTAGTTCAGTTCTAGTTCTAGTTCAGTTCTAGTTCAGTTCTAGTTCAGTTCTAGATCAGTTCTAGTTCAGTTCTAGTTCAGTTCTAGTTCAGTTCTAGTTTAGTTCTAGTTCAGTTCTAGTTCAGTTCTAGTTCAGTTCTAGTTTAGTTCTAGTTCAGTTCTAGTTCAGTTCTAGTTCAATTCTAGTACAGTTCTAGTTCAGTTCTAGTTCAGTTCTAGTTCAGTTCTAGTTCAGTTCTAGTTCATTTCTAGTTCAGTTCTAGTTCAGTTCTAGTTCAGTTCTAGTTCAGTTCTAGTTCAGTTCTAGTTCATTTCTAGTTCAGTTCTAGTTCAGTTCTAGTTCAGTTCTAGTTCAGTTCTAGTTCAGTTCTAGTTCAGTTCTAGTTCAGTTCCAGTTCAGTTCTAGTTCAGTTCTAGTTCAGTTCTAGTTTAGTTCTAGTTCAGTTCTAGTTCAATTCTAGTTAATTCTAGTTCAGTTCTAGTTCAGTTCTAGTTCAGTTCTAGTTCAGTTCTAGTTCAGTTCTAGTTCAGTTCTAGTTCAGTTCTAGTTCAGTTCTAGTTCAGTTCCAGTTCAGTTCTAGTTCAGTTCTAGTTCAGTTCTAGTTTAGTTCTAGTTCAGTTCTAGTTCAATTCTTAGTTCCATTCTAGTTCAGTTCAGTTAAGTTCTAGTTCAGTTCTAGTTCAGTCTAGTTTAGTTCTAGTTCAGTTCTAGTTCAGTTCTAGTTCAGGTTAGTTCAGTTCTAGTTCAGTTCTAGTCAGTTCTAGTTCAGTTCTAGTTCAGTTCTAGTTCAGTTCTAGTTCAGTTCTAGTTCCGTTCCGTTCGTTCAGTTCAGTTCTAGTTCAGTTCTAGTTCAGTTCTAGTTTCCGTTCTAGTTCAGTTCTTAGATTCAGTTCTAGTTCAGTTCTAGTTCAGTTCTGTTCAGTTCTAGTTCAGTTCTAGTTCAGTTCTAGTCAGTTCTAGTTCGTCTAGTTCAGTTTAGTTCAGTTCTAGTTCAGTTCTAGTTCAGTTCTAGTTCAGTTCTAGTTCAGTTCTAGTTCAGTTCTAGTTCAGTTCTAGTTCAGTTCTAGTTTCAGTTCTAGTTCAGTTCTAGTTCAGTTCTAGTTCAGTTCTAGTTCAGTTCTAGTTCAGTTCTAGTTCAGTTCTAGTTCAGTTCTAGTTCAGTTCTAGTTCAGTTCTAGTTCAGTTCTAGTTCAGTTCTAGTTCAGTTCTAGTTCAGTTCTAGTTCAGTTCTAGTCAGTTCTAGTTCAGTTCTAGTTCAGTTCTAGTTCAGTTCTAGTTCAGTTTAGTTCAGTTCTAGTTCAGTTCTAGTTCAGTTCGAGTTCAGTTCTAGTTTCAGTTCTAGTTCAGTTCTAGTTCAGTTCTAGTTCAGTTCTAGTTCAGTTCTAGTTCAGTTCTAGTTCAGTTCTAGTATTTCTAGTTCAGTTCTTATAGTTCAGTTCTAGTTCGTTCTAGTTCAGTTCTAGTTCAGTTCTAGTTCAGTTCTAGTTCAAATCTAGTTCAGTTCTACTTCAGTTCTTGTTCTATTCTACTTCAAAAAGGTTTCTTTAAATTTGACAAATTTTAAAAATATTCCACTTACATTAGACTGTTGAAATATCTCATTAATATCAACCATTGGTATCTCACTGGTACGTACGGGCAAACTTCTCGTAGCCATTTCAATTTCAACCTCGGGCGGTGTACGCGTCTCTCGCGTTTGAGTCATTAAATTCTGCAAATGATTACGTTTAGCCACCAACACTAAAGTATCATTATTGCCTATCTCCAATTGAGCCAATGTCAAATTCTCATTTAGCTCCGAACCCTGATAATCAGCCTTTAGTAAACGAAACCTAGGACCCAGCGAGCGTGGATCTGTGGCGAAAAGGGGCATAGAGCCCATATCATCTTTAAGCTCTAAAAGTATTTCACTCTTTAACTCTAGCAAACGTCTATTGATATCCGTTTGGAAAACCAAAATACGGGCCGAAGGACAAACAATGCGTACCTTGATACGCTCTTTGGTGGATGGACCTTTAAGGACATCATCGTTGTTGTGGCAAGAACCCACAGATGAAGAGGCAGCCGAAGAACGACGAGAACTTCTTCTGCAATTAGTAAAAATTATAAAAATTGTACAGATTCCATTGAAAATTAAGTACTTTGCAAATAAATTTCGTAATTTTTGCATAACTGAAAATTTTGACACTTGTTGTAATAAAAAATAATCCAAATCAAACTTAATTCTCTCGGCCCACTTACATTTTATTTAACTTAATATTATTAGACGTTGAGTTGGTCAAGGAACATGATGATGACGATGAATGGTGATGATGATGACAATGTGATGTTGCTGAAGACCCTCTCATTGATCTATGGGCGGTTTGTGGTGTTAGTGGTAAACGGCCACTGGCAGGGGCCGCTACCGTTACGGTGGCGTTTGAACTATTGGCCGACTCTTCGGGATTATCTTGCAGACGATGCAGTCTGGGCGCTATATCACTGGCACTAGTCGATGAATTATCATCTTCATCTTCACTTTTATTCGTGGAACGTTTATTACGGGCCGCCAGCCATTTGGCACGACGTTCTGCAAATTTTTCACGTACCCATGGAATCATTGCTTCCAGCAATGACCCCCAAATAGTAATACTTCTAGTTGCAACACTTTTATGTTCTTATTTTATATTTTAACATTTTAAACATTTTATTTCTTTTTTTTAATAGAATGTTAAGGAATTTTTATGAATCTTTACATTTTTTTTAACAAGTTTTTATCCTTTTGTTTACAAAAAAAAGAGGAAACAGTAGGATAATTGGAAAAACCAATTTTCTTTAGTAGTATTTTGGGAAAAACAAGAAATTCGACTCGAAAGTTTTTTTGCTTGTCTGCTTTAAAGAAATTCACCATGTTGAAAGTGTTGCCAATAGTTATTTCTGGTAATTTGCTGGAAATAAGCGTTTTTAATGCAAATTACCGTTACTTGTGGTAAATTGTAGATTAAAGAAAAAATGTGAAGTATTTTTTTAAAATATGATAAAATCGGTAAAAGTAAACTAACTAACTAACTAACTAACTAACTAACTAACTAACTAACTAACTAACTAACTAACTAACTAACTAACTAACTAACTAACTAACTAACTAACTAACTAACTAACTAACTAACTAACTAACTAACTACTACTAACTAACTAACTACTAACTAACTAACTAACTACTAACTAACTAACTAACTAACTAACTAACTAACTAACTAACTAACTAACTAACTAACTAACTAACTAACTAACTAACTAACTAACTAACTAACTAACTAACTAACTAACTAACTAACTAACTAACTAACTAACTAACTAACTAACTAACTAACTAACTACTAACTAACTAACTAACTAACTAACTAACTAACTAACTAACTAACTAACTAACTAACTAACTAACTAACTAACTACTAACTAACTAACTAACTAACTAACTAACTAACTAACTAACTAACTAACTAACTAACTAACTAACTAACTAACTAACTAACTAACTAACTAACTAACTAACTAACTAACTAACTAACTAACTAACTAACTAACTTAACTAACTAACTAACTAACTACTAACTAACTAACTACTAACTAACTAACTAACTAACTAACTAACTAACTAACTAACTAACTAACTAACTAACTAACTAACTACTAACTAACTAACTAACTAACTAACTACTAACTAACTAACTAACTAACTAACTACTAACTACTAACTAACTAACTAACTAACTAACTAACTAACTAACTAACTAACTAACTAACTAACTAACTAACTAACTAACTAACTAACTAACTAACTAACTAACTAACTAACTAACTAACTAACTACTAACTAACTAACTAACTAACTAACTAACTAACTACTAACTAACTAACTAACTAACTAACTAACTAACTAACTAACTAACTAACTAACTAACTAACTAACTAACTAACTAACTAACTAACTAACTAACTAACTAACTAACTAACTAACTAACTAACTACTAACTAACTAACTAACTAACTAACTAACTAACTAACTACTAACTAACTACTAACTAACTAACTACTAACTAACTAACTAACTAACTAACTAACTAACTAACTAACTAACTAACTAACTAACTAACTGACTAACTAACTAACTACTAACTAACTAACTAACTAACTAACTAACTAACTAACTAACTAACTAAATAACTAACTAACTAACTAACTAATTTGTTACTATTATTTTACTTAAAAAAATCTTTCATAAAGTGATTCCCCCTACTTTTTACAAATAATAAAACTCACCCGTATTTATGATTTTTCATTCGCTCCAGAGAAACTCACCTTTTGCAACAGTGCTGCCAAGTTTTCAACACACACTCTGATTGAATTTTTGTATGTGTATTTTGTATTCTTTCTTATCGTGTTTTTACTTTTCTGCAAACGAAAAAGAAGCGTTTCTATAAAATTACGCGATTTTTAATATTAAATTATTAGCAGTAAATGTGTTAAAATTTTAATTAAATTTTTAATAAACATGTAAATAAATGTTTGTTCTTTATGAATTAATAGAAATAAAGTGTTAATTTAATGAATTTATATTAAAAAAAATCAAGTGAAAAATTCCCATTCGAAGGACTGGAGAAGAAAAAAAAAGAACATTAAATTTTTTTTATAAGAAAAAGCAGTGGCTTGAAAAAAAAAAAAAGAAACGAAGCAAAATATAGAGAGAAATAAAGAAGAAATTAAATGCGTGGATAGCAAATGAGAAAAAATAATAAGCAAAAAATAATAAAAGTAAAACGCTTTGTAATGTTTATGGAGGCTATAAGAAAATAATAAAATAAAGAAAATACATTGGCATTGCAAAAAACTAAAAGAAAAGAAAGAAAAATTATATATACACACATGCATACATACACATAATAAATAATTAATACAAAAAGAGGAAGGTAAACAAATAAATATATAAAAAATGTTTCTTTATCAATAAAAAAAATTCTAAGTTATTTTGAGTTGAGTTCAGTGAAATACAGATTTTTCTTAAAAATTAAGCTATTTTTATATTTTCCAAACTTAGTTTAGGGGTTGAAAATGTTGTTAACAAAAATATATCTGTTCCTGATGTTTGAGTGCAGGTGCTGGATAATGGAACGAATTTTTGTTATTTATTCCCTGTTTTATCTCTTCTCTCGGCTGCATAAACAGGAAGTTATAAATGTTGTATACAACAATAACAACACCAATAAACGAGAGTAATTTGTTAGTGTTGGAGTGTGTGGCTGTGTACATTTGTCTTGTCTCTGTTTACTTGTTAGTTTGTCTGTCTGTCTATTTGTCTTATTGTTAGTTCAGTTTTACATTATCTTCTTATGTTTCTCCTCTTATCCGGAAATTCTTGATCGAAATAAAATACAATAAATGTTAATTGAAAATAAATACATAAATAAAATGGGGGAAACCGAACATGAGATTTCAATTGTTATTGGGGATGCATAATAAATATGCGACTCAAAGGGAAAAAACTATTTCTGTTTTAGATTTTCTAACTAGACTAAACATACTAATATGATTCAAAGAGTTTTTCCCGGAATAGTGACTCAGTATATTTTTGTTGACAACTAAATGGTAAATTGTGTTTCCCAATTTTATAATTGGTCAAATAAATACATGAGTTTTTTTTTACTAAAAAATTGTGACAAATATTCTTAAAGAAAATGTTGACAATTTTACTAACACAAAATTGTGATAAATTTTAGAACTGAATTAGAAGTCATCTAGGACTGAAATAGAAATGAATTAGAATTAAACTAAAACTGATATAGAACTAAACTAGAACTGATCTAAAAGTGATTTAGATAAGAACTAGAAGGGAACTAGACTGATTTCGAAGGAATGAAGAACCGAACTAAGTAGAACTTAAACTGAAGAAGAATTGAACTAAAACTCAACTAGACTGATTTCGAAGGAAAGAAGATCCGAACTAGAACTGAACTAGAACTGAACTAGAACGGAACCAGAACTAGAACTGAACTAGAACTGAACTAGAACTGAACTAGAACTGAACTAGAACTGAACTAGAACTGAACTAGAACTGAACTAGAACTGAACTAGAACTGAACTAGAACTGAACTAGAACTGAACTAGAACTGAACTAGAACTGAACTAGAACTGAACTAGAACTGAACTAGAACTGAACTAGAACTGAACTAGAACTGAACTAGAACTGAACTAGAACTGAACTAGAACTGAACTAGAACTGAACTAGAACTGAACTAGAACTGAACTAGAACTGAACTAGAACTGAACTAGAACTGAACTAGAACTGAACTAGAACTGAACTAGAACTGAACTAGAACTGAACTAGAACTGAACTAGAACTGAACTAGAACTGAACTAGAACTGAACTAGAACTGAACTAGAACTGAACTAGAACTGAACTAGAACTGAACTAGAACTGACTAGAACTGAACTAGAACTGAACTAGAACTGAACTAGAACTGAACTAGAACTGAACTAGAAACTGAACTAGAACTACTAACTGAACTAGAACTGAACTAGAACTGAACTAGAACTGAACTAGAACTGAACTAGAACTGAACTAGAACTGAACTAGAACTGAACTAGAACTGAACTAGAACTGAACTAGAACTCAACTAGAACTGAACTAGAACTGAACTAGAACTGAACTAGAACTGAACTAGAACTGAACTAGAACTGAACTAGAACTGAACTAGAAATGAACTAAAACTGAACTAGAAATGAACTAGAAATGAACTAACTGAACTAGAACTGAACTAGAACTGAGCTAAAACTGAGCTAGAACTGAACTAGAACTGAACTAGAACTGAACTAGAACTGAACTAGAACTGAACTAGAACTGAACTAGAACTGAACTAGAACTGAACTAGAACTGAACTAAAACTGAACTAGAACTGAACTAGAACTGAACTAGAACTGAACTAGAACTAGAACTGAACTAGAACTGAACTAGAACTGAACAAGAACTGAACTAGAACTGAACTAGAACTGAACTTGAACTGAACTAGAACTGAACTAGAACTGAACTAGAAATGAACTAGAAATGAACTAGAACTGAACTAGAACTGAACTAGAACTGAGCTAAAACTGAGCTAGAACTGATAACTGAACTAGAAGAAGACAACAACTGAGCTAGAGTCAAATTACAACTAGAACTCAAATGTTGTTCAAATTTAAAGATTTTTCTACAGTAGGAGTTGGCAGTTTCATATTTCTATTGTTTATCAAAATAAATTTCCTTTATCCACGCTTTCATATTTATTTATGTTTATTATTGTTATTCTTACAGCAACAACTACATAGTTAAAAACTCAAGAATTGATGAAAAAGATTTTTTTTATTTAAAATAATTAAAATAAAAAGAAACGCATTAAATTAAGACGCAGCAGAACAAGTAAGAAAAAGAAGATAGCAGCAATATTTTAGATTTTTTTCTATACAATAAACATACTTAGATAATAGGAAAAATTTTGCAAACAATTGCCTAACTAAAGGGTAAGTTTGAAAAAAAGCTTATCAATAGTAAATTATAATATATAGGTATTAAACAAAAGAAACATTTCTTTTACTTAACAGTAAGACAAACTATAGAAACATGTGGAATTCGGAGGCGCGACAACAGCAGCAAAATGGTGTTACTACCTCAACATCCAATACAATACACAATTCTTCTGGACAAAATGCACAGAATAATGGTGGCAGCAATGGTTCGTCACAGCAGCAGGCCAAACAGCTGGGTATGACTTCAGCCATAAGTTTGGCGGGACCACGACCAGAAGATTTACAAAAAACTGAAGAGTTACGCAAGGCTTTAGAGCCTTATAAGGTTTTTGAAACTGAAGAAGAATTGAATCATCGCATGGAAATACTTGCCAAACTTAATACTCTGGTCAAGCAGTGGGTTAAAGAGATTTCATTAGCTAAGAATATGCCCGAAGTGGCGGCCCAAAAGTTGGGTGGTAAAATCTATACCTTCGGTTCGTATCGTTTGGGAGTTCACCATAAAGGAGCTGATATTGACGCATTGTGTGTAGCACCACGCAATATAGAACGTGCTGATTATTTCACATCATTCTTTGAACTGTTGAAAAAACAACCTGAAGTAACCGAATGTCGAGCCGTTGAAGAGGCTTTTGTACCGGTTATAAAAATGAATTTCGATGGCATCGAAATTGATTTACTTTTCGCTCGTTTATCTCTCAAAGAGATACCGGACGATTTTGATTTGCGCGATGACAACCTATTAAAGAATTTGGATCCACGTTCGGTGCGCAGTTTGAACGGTTGTCGGGTGACAGATGAGATATTGTCGTTAGTACCGAATATAGAGAATTTTCGTTTAGCATTGCGTTCCATAAAGTTATGGGCTAAAAGTGAGTAAAAGGTTTTGAAAGAGTAAAACAGTTTTGTGGAATAATAAGTTAAATGGAAATTCATAAATTGTATTTAGAAATTTGAAAAGTATCTAGGAATTTTATTACTTATTTACAGTTCTTTTTAATTTGTTACGATTTTCCTTTTATTTCCTTTTTCAGAACATGGCATCTATTCAAATTCATTGGGTTATTTTGGTGGTGTTACTTGGGCCATGTTGGTGGCTCGTACCTGTCAATTGTATCCGAATGCCACAGCCTCCACATTGGTTCATAAGTTCTTTTTAGTTTTCTCACGTTGGAAGTGGCCAAATCCCGTCTTGCTAAAACATCCCGATAATGTTAATTTAAGATTTCCCGTAAGTAGTTTCCGCACTCTACAACTACTAGAACAACTAACATTTTATTGTCATTATTAAATAAAGGTATGGGATCCTCGTGTTAATGCCTCAGATCGTTATCATTTAATGCCGATTATAACGCCAGCATATCCACAACAAAATTCCACTTTTAACGTTTCGGAATCAACAAAGAAAGTTATATTAATGGAGTTTAATAGGGGCATGTCGACAACAGATGAAATTATGTTGGGCAGAGCTTCGTGGGATAGATTATTTGAGGCTCCCAGTTTCTTTTATAGGTAAAGCACTACACTTCTTTCCCCAACATATCATTTTATGATTCTGTTTTCTTTCTCTATAGATATCGCCACTTTATTGTTTTATTGGTTAATTCACAAACCGCCGACGATCATTTGGAATGGTGCGGTCTGGTCGAGTCTAAGATACGTCTCTTGATTGGAAACTTAGAGCGCAATCAACACATTTCATTGGCCCATGTCAATCCCAAGTGTTTTGATCATAAAAAGGGCAATAGTAATAGTAATAATTCCTGTTCGCAAAATAGCAGTAGCGGCAATGAAGATGATAAATCTCAAAATCCTGCTACAGCAGCTGGTGGTAATGCAGCTCCTGCTGCCGGCCAGGCCTCATTATCTACATCGCCCTACTGTTCGATGTGGTTTATTGGTTTGGAATTTGAACGGACGGAAAATTTAAATGTTGATTTAACCGAAAGTATACAGAATTTTACAGAGCATGTTATACAGCATGGTGTAAGTATGATTAAAATTAAGAAATGGTTTTCAATGTTATTCAGAAGAAGATTTTAAAAGTAGTTGTAGTTTAGTCTTAGATAAGTTGTAGTTCAGAACCCGAACAATTCTACTTAAGTTTTACTGTAGTTTCAGTTTAGTTCTAGTTCATTTCTATTCTTGTTCTAGTTCAGTTCCAGTTCAGTTCCAGTTCAGTTCTATTTCAGTTCTAGTTCAGTTTAAGATCAATTCTAGTTTAGTTTAAGATCAATTCTAGTTCAGTTCTATTTCAGTTCTAGTTCAGTTCTAGTTCAGTTCTAGTTCAGTTCTAGTTCTAGTTCAGTTCTAGTTCAGTTCTAGTTCTAGTTCAGTTCTAGTTCAGTTCTAGTTCAGTTCTAGTTCTAGTTCAGTTCTAGTTCTAGTTCAGTTCTAGTTCTAGTTCAGTTCCAGTTCAGTTCTAGTTCAGTTCAGTTCTAGTTCAGTTCTAGTTCAGTTCCAGTTCAGTTCTAGTTCAGTTCTAGTTCAGTTCTAGTTCAGTTCTAGTTCAGTTCTGGTTCAGTTCTTGTTCAGTTCTTGTTCAGTTCTAGTTCAGTTCTAGTTCAGTTCTAGTTCAGTTCTAGTTCAGTTCTAGTTCAGTTCTAGTTCAGTTCTAGTTCAGTTCTAGTTCAGTTCTAGTTCAGTTCTAGTTCAGTTCAGTTCTAGTTCAGTTCTAGTTCAGTTCCAGTTCAGTTCTAGTTCAGTTCTAGTTCAGTTCTAGTTCAGTTCTAGTTCAGTTCTGGTTCAGTTCTTGTTCAGTTCTAGTTCAGTTCTAGTTCAGTTCTAGTTCAGTTCTAGTTCTAGTTCTAGTTCAGTTCTAGTTCAGTTCTAGTTCAGTTCAGTTCTAGTTCTAGTTCTAGTTCAGTTCTAGTTCTAGTTCAGTTCTAGTTCAGTCTAGTTCAGTCTAGTTCAGTTCTAGTTCAGTTCTAGTTCAGTTCTAGTTCAGTTCTAGTTCAGTTCTAGTTCAGTTTCGAGTTCTTCATTCTAGTTCAGTTCTAGTTCAGTTCTAGTTCAGTTCTAGTTCAGTTCTAGTTCAGTTCTAGTTCAGTTCTAGTTCAGTTCTAGTTCAGTTCTAGTTCAGTTCTAGTTCAGTTCTAGTTCAGTTCTAGTTCAGTTCTAGTTCAGTTCTAGTTCAGTTCTAGTTCAGTTCTAGTTCAGTTCTAGTTCAGTTCTAGTTCAGTTCTAGTTCAGTTCTAGTTCAGTTCTAGTTCAGTTCTAGTTCAGTTCTAGTTCAGTTCTAGTTCAGTTCTAGTTCAGTTCTAGTTCAGTTCTAGTTCAGTTCTAGTTCAGTTCTAGTTCAGTTCTAGTTCAGTTCTAGTTCTAGTTCAGTTCTAGTTCAGTTCTAGTTCAGTTCTAGTTCAGTTCTAGTTCAGTTCTAGTTCAGTTCTAGTTCAGTTCTTGTTCAGTTCTAGTTCAGCTCTAGTTCAGTTTTCATTCTACTTCAGTCCTAGATCAGTTTAAAATCAGTTCCAGATCACTTTCAAATCCTGTCGGATCTAGTCCAGTTATATTTAAAGATTTAGTTCAGTTCCAACGCTGTTTATTAACTTATTAATCTTTCACACTTTTTATAGGTCAACATTAAAATGTTAAAGGAGGGCATGTCCATAGAGGCCCGTCACGTCAAACGCAAACAGTTGTCACAGTATTTAGATGCTGATTTCTTGAAACGTGAACGTAAATCCATGGACAGTCACAATAGTTTCAATAATGCTATACTGGCCAATCGCAAACGGCTCTCCAATGAGATGCAACAGAAAGAAGGCAGCAATGGCAGTACTGTCAAGCGATCACGAGTCAGTGAATCGGTAGGTTTAATAGGAATTTCTAGTTTATGGACTTTTTTTAATTTATTGTTGTTATATTAATAGCAGGAAGATAATTCAAATGCTTCTAGTGATGCTGGAGGTGGTGGTAATACTACACCCACCACACCCACTTCACAGCAACAAACGGCACCAACATTTAATAAACAACAGCAATCAACGACGCCACAGCAGGAAGAGGTTTCCGATAATAGTAATGGAGGCAACAGTAATAGCAATAGTAATACGGCTTCAACACAACCCACAGCTGAAGTGGCATGTTCGTGACCGCCGCCAACTATACCGCTGGCCTCACTACCCCATTCACACTTATATCCACCCACACATACGTTGCTGACCCATGCCACACTACCGCATCATAATACACAGAAATTTCGCAAAAACAATAATGCTGCTGCAGCTGCCAATTCCAATAGCATTTTTTGTCAACGTTTAACCTCCTCCTCGGCTACGTCGTCCTCCTCTTCTGCTGCTGCCTCCTCCTCCTCCTCCACAAGTTCTTCTTTGTCTGCCTCGGCGGCGTTGTCGTCGTGTAATGCAACGTCTTTGTATGGTCGTAATCCAAGACGTTTATCAGCCACTTATAATCACAATAGCAATCATCTGTATCATCAACCACATCATCTGCATCATACACAACAACAACAACAGCAGCAACATCATCATTTGCAACATCATTCTTCAAACTCTTTCATGATGACGTCGTCTTTAAATACACATAATAAACACAACAACAACAACAACAATAATAATAGTAGCAGCAGCAACAACAACAATACCAATATTAATAATAACAACAACAATTCCAGTAATCAAACCAACAATAGCAACAACAGTAACAACTCTAACAATCATATAGTTGATCTTGTTAATGACGATGATGATGTTGATGAATTATTAACAACTGGAACTACAGCTACAACAACCACAACCATAACTTGTAAGTTTATTTTTTTTGTATTTAAAACCAGATTTTTCTTTTCTCAAAAAAAAATTCAACATATTTTTACGATTGCTTCTCTTTCCCATCAAATACTTCCAACATTTCTCACTTCACCTCATTACTCTGCTTTGATTTTTCATCAATATTTGTGTGTTTGTTGTATTCTTTGTGTTGTTTTGTTTCTTAATCAAATTTCTTGCTAAACATTATAGAACTCTAATCAGATCATTTAGCAATTCTCATCACATCAGCACCTCTTAATATCTCTTAACATTTAACTATTATTTATCTTTAAATATTTCCTATTTTTTTATATAAATTTACAATTCTATTTACCAACAAAACATCTTTTAGGACAACTTTACTATTTTTATATAAAATATGATATATTTTTTTATTAATATTTATTATACGAAAAACTTTTTTATTTTCTAAAAAACTTAAAAAAATAAAAACAAAAAAGAGCAAAAAACAAAACAAAAAAAAAATCAAAATCAAAAAGTTTTTTATGAAAAAAAGTACAAAATTTTTTACAATTTCAAAACAAAAAATTATACAAAAAATTATATATTTTTAAATAAAAAAATAAAATAAATCAAAAAAGAAAAGTATTAAAAAAAAAGAAAACAAAAAAAAAACTTAAAAACCCAAATTCAAAATTTTTTATCTTTATTATTTTTCTTTTCGATTATTTTTTATAATTAATTTTTTTGGTTGGTTTAGGGTTTTCATTTTAATTTAATTATTTTAAATTGCTTTTAACATATTTAAAGAATAATTTGTTACACTATCAAATGTTTAAATTTTCAATTCTACTAAAAATGTTGGTTTAGGGAGTGATTTCATTCTAGTTTTGTTGCAATTTCAGCTCAGTGCTAGATTAGTTATAAATCAGTTCCGCAACAGTTTCAGATCAGTTCTAATTAAGCTATAGTTAAGTTCTGTGTTCTAATTCATTATTGGTTCAGATCTAGTTCACTTCTAGTTCAGTTCTAGTTCAATTCTACTTCAGTTCTAGTTCAGTTCTAGTTCAGTTCTAGTTCGGTTCTAGTTCAGTTCTAGTTCAGTTCTAGTTCAGTTCTAGTTCAGTTCTAGTTCAGTTCTAGTTCAGTTCTAGTTCAGTTCTAGTTCAGTTCTAGTTCATTTCTACTTCGGTTGTAGTTCAGTTCTAGTTCAGTTTTAGTTCAGTTCTAGTTCAGTTCTAGATCAGTTCTAGTTCAGTTCTAGTTCAGTTCTAGTTCTAGTTCAGTTCTAGTTCAGTTCTAGTTCAGTTATAGTTCAGTTATAGTTCAGTTCTAGTTCAGTTCTAGTTCTAGTTCAGTTCTAGTTCAGTTCTAGTTCAGTTCTAGTTCAGTTCTAGTTCAGTTCTAGTTCAGTTCTAGTTCAGTTCTAGTTCAGTTCTAGTTCAGTTCTAGTTCAGTTCTAGTTCAGTTCTAGTTCAGTTCTAGTTCAGTTCTAGTTCAGTTCTAGTTCAGTTCTAGTTCAGTTCTAGTTCAGTTCTAGTTCAGTTCTAGTTCAGTTCTAGTTCAGTTCTAGTTCAGTTCTAGTTCAGTTCTAGTTCAGTTCTAGTTCTGTTCTAGTTCATTTCTAGTTCTAGTTCATTTCTAGTTCAGTTTTCTTTCAGTTCTTTTCAGTTCTAGTTCAGTTCTAGTTCAGTTCTAGTTTAGTTCTAGTTCAGTTCTAGTTCTAGTTCAGTTCTAGTTCATTCTAGTTCAGTTCTAGTTCAGTTCTAGTTCAGTTCTAGTTCAGTTCTAGTTCAGTTCTAGTTCAGTTCTAGTTCAGTTCTAGTTCAGTTCTAGTTCAGTTCTAGTTCAGTTCTAGTTCAGTTCTAGTTCAGTTCTAGTTCAGTTCTAGTTCAGTTCTAGTTCAGTTCTAGTTCATTTCTAGTTCAGTTCTTTTTCAGTTCTTGTTCAGTTCTAGTTCAGTTGTAGTTCAGTTCTAGTTTAGTTCTAGTTCAGTTCTAGTTCTAGTTCAGTTCTAGTTCAGTTCTAGTTCAGTTCTAGTTCAGTTCTAGTTCAGTTCTAGTTCAGTTCTAGTTCAGTTCTAGTTCAGTTCTAGTTCAGTTCTAGTTCAGTTCTAGTTCAGTTCTAGTTCAGTTCTAGTTCAGTTCTAGTTCAGTTCTAGTTCAGTTCTAGTTCAGTTCTAGTTCAGTTCTAGTTCAGTTCTAGTTCAGTTCTAGTTCAGTTCTAGTTCAGTTCTAGTTCGGTTCTGGGTTCAGTTCTAGATCAGTTCTAGTTCTAGTTCTAGTTCAGTTCTAGTTCAGTTCTAGTTCTAGTTCAGTTCAGTTCTAGTTTAGTTCTAGTTCAGTTCTAGTTCAGTTCAATGTTCATTTCTAGTTCAGTTGTTCTTCAGTTGTTGTTCAGTTCAAGTTCAGTTGTAGTTCAGTTGTAGTTCAGTTCTAGTTCTAGTTCAGTTCTATTTCCGTTCTATTTCAGTTCTATTTCAGTTTCTAGTTCAGTTCTAGTTCAGTTTCTAGTTCAGTTCTAGTTCAGTTCTAGTTCAGTTCTAGTCAGTTCTAGTTCAGTTTAGTTCAGTTCTAGGTCAGTTCTAGTTCAGTTCTAGTTCAGTTCTAGTTCAGTTCTAGTTCAGTTCTAGTTCAGTTCTAGTTCAGTTCTAGTTCAGTTCTAGTTCAGTTCTAGTTCAGTTCTAGTTCAGTTCTAGTTCAGTTCTAGTCAGTTCTAGTTCAGTTCTAGTTCAGTTCTAGTTCAGTTTCTAGTTCAGTTCTAGTTCAGTTCTAGTTCAGTTCTAGTCTAGTTATAGTTCTAGTTCAGTTCTAGTTCATTTCTAGTTCATTTCTAGTTCAGTTCTTTCAGTTCTTGTTCAGTTCTAGTTCAGTTGTAGTTCAGTTCTAGTTTAGTTCTAGTTCAGTTCTAGTTCAGTTCTAGTTCAGTTCTAGTTCAGTTCTAGTTCAGTTCTAGTTCAGTTCTAGTTCAGTTCTAGTTCAGTTCTAGTTCAGTTCTAGTTCAGTTCTAGTTCAGTTCTAGTTCAGTTCTAGTTCAGTTCTAGTTCAGTTCTAGTTCAGTTCTAGTTCAGTTCTAGTTCAGTTCTAGTTCAGTTCTAGTTCAGTTCTAGTTCAGTTCTAGTTCAGTTCTAGTTCAGTTCTAGTTCTAGTTCAGTTCTAGTTCAGTTCTAGTTCAGTTCTAGTTCAGTTCTAGTTCAGTTCTAGTTCTAGTTCAGTTCTAGTTCAGTTCTAGTTCAGTTCTAGTTCAGTTCTAGTTCAGTTCTAGTTCAGTTCTAGTTCAGTTCTAGTTCAGTTCTAGTTCAGTTCTAGTTCAGTTCTAGTTCAGTTCTAGTTTCTAGTTCAGTTCTAGTTCTGTTCTGGTTCAGTTCTAGTTCAGTTCTAGTTCAGTTCTAGTTCAGTTCTAGTTCTAGTTCAGTTCAGTTCTAGTTTAGTTCTAGTTCAGTTCTAGTTCAGTTAAATGTTCATTTCTAGTTCAGTTCTTGTTCAGTTGTTCTTCAGTTGTTGTTCAGTTCAAGTTCAGTTGTAGTTCAGTTCTAGTTCTAGTTCAGTTCTATTTCAGTTCTATTTCAGTTCTATTTCAGTTCTAGTTCAGTTCTAGTTCAGTTCTAGTTCAGTTCTAGTTCAGTTCTAGTTCAGTTCTAGTTCAGTTCTAGTTCAGTTCTAGTTCAGTTCTAGTTCAGTTCTAGTTCAGTTCTAGTTCAGTTCTAGTTCAGTTCTAGTTAAGTTCTAGTTCAGTTCTAGTTTAGTTCTAGTTCAGTTCTAGTTCAGTTCTAGTTCATTTCTACTTCGGTTGTAGTTCAGTTCTAGTACAGTTCTAGTTCAGTTCTGGTTCAACTCTATATTTGTTTCAATTCGGTTTTTGTTCGATTCTATTTAAGTTCTAGTTTAGTTTTTATTCATTTCACATCTATGAAGGTTCGAGCTCTGTTTTAGTTTTCATCAAGATCAATTTAAATTAATATATAGTTTGTTTGTACATCAGTTCAAGTTTAGTTGGGTTTATACAGATGTCAATTCCACAGAAGTTAGAAATTGGTTTAAGTTTCGATCAGAAGTACAAGTTCTTCCCTGGAGAAACGACTTTGTAGTATATGATTGCTGAGTTGAAATATTTGTGAGATTAGAATTCATATCATTATGAAGAGAATATTCGATGGTCATGGGAACAGTGGATTGCAGTGGACACTGTTGATTTAAAGTTTGCCTTCCTTATCATCCGAAGTATTCTATTTTATCAATATTTCATTAATTTGATTTTATTCTTATGACACATTAAAACCTTCAGTTACAAAGAAGTTACATATCTTGACTGGTAAAAGTTGAAAACATTCGTAGTTGTTTACTTATTCAAAACATTCAGTAGAACTTTTTCTAGGTCTAAGTGGGTTTTTGTTATAAGAAAAACTTAAGAAAATCGTAAGTGCTATCGTACATCTATTTTTAAAGTACTTTTTAAGTTTTAAAAGTAGTTAATAAAATATGTAAAGTGAATAACGCCACTAAATATTTGTATTTTTTTCTTTTTCTCTTTTCCGTTTACTTTTTTTTACAATTTTCTCCCAACAGTGTAATAAGGCTTATCCAATTAACCCCCCCAAAGTAGTATAAGGATCTAGATATAAGGACTAATGGTTTAAAGCCACATTAATTAAATACAAAATATAAAAAATTAAAGAAAAAAAAATTGGAAAACATTTTAAACAAAAAGGTAAATATTGGGGAAATTGAATGAAATAATTAAGTTGCAAGTGATCTCTAGTTCAACTCTAGTTTAATTATATATAGTCAGTTCTAGTTCAGTTTTAGTTCAGTCTAGTTCAGTTCTAGTTCAGTTCTAGTTCAGTTCTAGTTCAGTTCTAGTTCAGTTCTAGTTCAGTTCTAGTTCAGTTCTAGTTCAGTTCTAGTTCAGTTCTAGTTCAGTTCTTGTTCAGTTCTTGTTCAGTTCTAGTTCAGTTCTAGTTAAGTTCTAGTTCAGTTCTAGTTCAGTTCTAGTTCAGTTCTAGTTCAGTTCTTGTTCAGTTCTTGTTCAGTTCTAGTTCAGTTCTAGTTCAGTTCTAGTTCAGTTCTAGTTCAGTCTAGTTCAGTCTAGTTCAGTTCTAGTTCAGTTCTAGTTCAGTTCTAGTTCAGTTCTAGTTCAGTTCTAGTTCAGTTCTAGTTCAGTTCTAGTTCAGTTCTAGTTCAGTTCTAGTTCAGTTCTAGTTCAGTTCTAGTTCAGTTCTAGTTCAGTTCTAGTTCAGTTCTAGTTCAGTTCTAGTTCAGTTCTAGTTCAGTTCTAGTTCAGTTCTAGTTCAGTTCTAGTTCAGTTCTAGTTCAGTTCTAGTTCAGTTCTAGTTCAGTTCTAGTTCAGTTCTAGTTCAGTTCTAGTTCAGTTCTAGTTCAGTTCTAGTTCTAGTTCAGTTCTAGTTCAGTTCTAGTTCAGTTCTAGTTCAGTTCTAGTTCAGTTCTAGTTCAGTTCTAGTTCAGTTCTAGTTCAGTTCTAGTTCAGTTCTAGTTCAGTTCTAGTTCAGTTCTAGTTCAGTTCTAGTTCAATTCTAGTTCAGTTCTAGTTCAGTTCTAGTTCAGTTCTAGTTCAGTTCTAGTTCAGTTCTAGTTCAGTTCTAGTTCAGTTCTAGTTCAGTTCTAGTTCAGTTCTAGTTCAGTTCTAGTTCAGTTCTAGTTCAGTTCTAGTTCAGTTCTAGTTCAGTTCTAGTTCTAGCTCAGTTCTAGTTCAGTTCTAGTTCAGTTCTAGTTCAGTTCTAGTTCAGCTCTAGTTCAGTTCTAGTTCAGTTCTAGTTCAGTTCTAGTACAGTTCTAGTTCAGTTCTTGTTCAGTTCTAGTTCAGTTCTAGTTCAGTTCTAGTTCAGTTCTAGTTCAGTTCTAGTTCAGTTCTAGTTCAGTTCTAGTTCAGTTCTAGTTCAGTTCTAGTTCTAGTTCTAGTTCAGTTCTAGTTCAGTTCTAGTTCAGTTCTAGTTCAGTTCTAGTTCAGTTCTAGTTCAGTTCTAGTTCTAGTTCAGTTCTAGTTCTACTTCACATCTAGTTCAGTTCTAGTTCAGTTCTAGTTCAGTTCTAGTTCAGTTCTAGTTCAGTTCTAGTTCAGTTCTAGTTCAGTTCTAGTTCAGTTCTAGTTCAGTTCTAGTTCAGTTCTAGTTCAGTTCTAGTTCAGTTCTAGTTCAGTTCTAGTTCAGTTCTAGTTCAGTTCTAGTTCAGTTCTAGTTCAGTTCTAGTTCAGTTCTAGTTCAGTTCTAGTTCAGTTCTAGTTCAGTTCTAGTTCAGTTCTAGTTCAATTCTAGTTCAGTTCTAGTTCAGTTCTAGTTCAGTTTTAGTTCAGTTATTTATTTCAAATTCCATTTAAATTTCTATTTTATTCTGAATTTTTGTCTCTTTTTTTCATTTAAATTTCAGAAAAAAAAACAAAAAATTCAAAAATATTTGCACCCAAAAAAATACACTACTGGACTTATGAAAGAAACAAGATCAGCAACAATAACAAAAAGGAGTTTTATCTGGAATCAAAAAATAGCAAAGGAAATGAAATCGTTTATTAAGCAAACAACGTGTTCAACTTTAAATTTTTAGGAAAAAAACTACAGAAAACTAAACACAGAGACTCACACAACAATAATAACAATGGTAAACTAATTGTTATTAAAAAAACAAATCTATATTTATTTTTACAGCTTTAAAAGCTTTTTTCAAACATCGTTATTCCACCAACCAACCAACCAACCAACCAACAACTATCCCCCCCTAAGGAAGGCTCTGAATAAAGGTTTACACTGGATTTTAGGGTCTTACATCTAGAGGATTCTTTTTACATAATACATAACTTCAACTTCAGCAATAATCTACCAGCCGCCCTCAACACAACTTTAACAACGAGTAAACCGCGACACCATTTTCTTTACAAAAACAAAATGAAGTACATTATTTTTTATTATTTTCCATTATTTTTCTATTCCATTGCCCTATTTCCCTATTTTTTTAATAACGACTTCTAAACTCCTTTTCTCTAACATCTTTAATTAGTTTTACGTTTTTTTTTTTGTGTCCTTTTCATTTACTTTTCATGTTTTTTCTTTTTTTTAATTTGATGGTACAACAAATTATATTTATTTTTTTTGGAAACAAGAAAAGCAAGAAAACTGAAAAAAAGGTAAATTCATTTATATAAAAAAAATATTTTTTAAAAAAATAACTAATAAAATAAATTTCTTTCAATTTAAAATAAAATATATAAAAAAAATATTAAAAAAAAGAAATATAAAAAAAAAATTAAAAGCAAAAAAAAAAATATTAAAAATAAAGTGAAAAAATTTCTATAAAAACAAAACTTTAAAAATGGGTTCTTTATTTTAAAACACTTTTCTTTTCTTAAAACAAAACTGCATTTTTTCTCTTTTAAGTTTTAAACAAAATTTAATTAGTTTAAGTATTTAGGTTTAAATAAATACATATTTTCAAATTCTATTTGAAAATTAAAATATTTACAAAAAAAATCTGAAGTCTTTTTTCTTAAATTTAAAACTTAGTTAATAAAATTAACGGATTTTAAAAGAATAGCGAGTTAAAAGAATTTAAGATCAATCTACAGTCTTGACAATAAATCATTCTATAGTTCAAGTTCTAATTCAGTTTAGTTCTAGTTCAAATGTAGTTCAGTTTTACTTTAGTTCTAGATCAGTTCTAGTTCTAGTTCAGTTCAGTTCCAGTTCAGTTCTAGTACAGTTCTAGTTCTGTTCTAGTTCAGTTTTACTTCACTTCTAGTTCAGTTCTAATTCAGTTTTAATTCACTTCTAGTACAGTTCTAGTTCAGTTTTAATTCAGTTCTAGTTCAGTTCTAGTTCAGTTCTAGTTCTGCTCTAGTTCAGTTCAAGTAAATTTCTAGTTTAGTTTAAGTTCATTTTTAGTTCTAGTTCAGTTCTAGTTCAGTTCTAGTTCAGTTCAAGTTCAGTTCTGTTCTAGTTTTGTTCTAGTTCAGTTCTAGTTCAGTTTTAGTTCAGTTTTAGTTCAGTTTTAGTTCAGTTCTAGTTCAGTTCTAGTTCAGCTTTAGTAGTCTTAACTATAGATTAGTCTATAGTTTTGATTATAGATCGGTCTATAGTGTTACTACAGATCAGTTTATACTCTTGACTATATATCGCCCTATAGGATTGACTATAGATTAGTCTGTATTCTTGACTATAGATCAGTCTATAGTCTTGACTATAGATCAGTCTATAGTCTTGACTATAGATCAGTCTATAGTCTTGACTATAGATCAGTCTATAGTCTTGACTATAGATCAGTCTATAGTCTTGACTATAGATCAGTCTATAGTCATGACTATAGATCAGTCTATAGTCTTGACTATAGATCAGTCCATAGTCTTGACTATAGATCAGTCTATAGTCTTGACTATAGATCAGTCTATAGTCTTGACTATAGATTAATCTATAGGCTTGACTATAGATTAGTCTATAGGCTTGACTATAGATTAGTCTATAGGCTTGACTATATATTAGTCTGTATTCTTGACTATAGATCAGTCTATAGTCTTGACTATAGATCAGTCTATATAATATTTTCTAGCAAATTCTACCAAATTGCTATATCGCTGCACTCCTACTCCTAAATGTAAAATGTAAAACTAATTTAGATTTGTATTTAAACAAAAATATATGTTTTTGTCCTTAAACCCAGCAGATTTAGTTTCCTTGTTGTAATTTTCCCTAATATTTTATACCAAAAGAAAGTCCTGCTGCTTAACATTGTAACTAACTAAACTAAAAAACAAACAATATGTAACCTTTATAAACCGTTACTAACTAAACTAATACCGTAGATCCCAAAAAATAACACAAGCAGAATTCTAAATATCTATTGAGCCAAAAAAAGGATTTAAGAACATGCAGAGATCTGGATTAAAGTAAAAAATGTTTTTTTGAGGCATGTTGAGCCGTAGTAAGGTATTTGTTTAGTATCCTTGTTTTTAGCTCATGCTAAAGCTTGGCTCAGCATGCTAATGAGTCAATTCTTGGAAATTTGTTTCTTCGAAAACAAAACAATAGATTTGTATTTAACAATGAGAATGGATAAAAATATGTGTATATTTCTTCCTGGCAGCAGCAGACAATTGACAAATACAATAAACCTCAACCTTGGGTGTTGAAAGAGAAGACAATGAAATGAAAATATTTGAAGTTGTAGATGGTAGTGTGTAAGTAAGTATGAGAAATGTTAAAAGTCCTGTTGCTGGTTTGGAAAATGAAAGACCCAAAAGGAAATTTAAAAGAATTTTTTTACTAATTATAGACAAAAGTATAGTCGAGGCTATACACTAGAAAATAGAACAGAATTTTGAATAGACTATAAGTTAGACAAGCGTACACTAGACTATAGGTCAGACTTAGACTATAGACTAGACTTTAGACTAGACTATAGACAAGACTATAGACTACACTATAGACTAAATTATAGACTACACTATAGACCTACATTATAGACTAGACTATAGACTAGATTATAGACTAGACTATAGACTAGATTATAGACTAGACTATAGACTAGACTATAGACAAGACTATAGACTAAACTATAGACTAGACTATAGACTAGACTATAGACTAGACTATAGACCAGACTATAGACAAGACTATAGACTAAACTATAGACTAGACTAGACTAGACTATAGACTAGACTATAGACTAGACTATAGACTAGACTATAGACTAGACTATAGACTAGACTAT